TTAGCTTTAATACACACAACAATAAAAAAATTAACTACTACAAGTGGAGGTGAGGTGCTGAGACTCAATAACACCATGAAGTAGCCTCATCTTGCCTGTTTCTTTTTAATTTTTTAAACCACATCCAATTGAATCAAGCCGTAGAGACTAGAGTTGTCTTAACCTTAATTTTAATATACTGCACTTCTTGCATATGATACTTGGGTGGATGTGAATAACTACATATAGCCAATTTATAATTGCTATTGCTTAAATCATGATCAGATGGTCTAGATAAATAATTAAATTTGTGACCCAGGGTAGCTTTGATTTTTCAGGACTATATGATTGTATTTATCAGTAAGTCATTTTTATATGGATGCCCTATCTTTGGGCTCTAACTAAGTGCAATGTTGCAAACAGTTATTCAATATTTATCATGTTTAAATATTATAAAGTTTTCAAGAATTATTACTTTGATTTCATCTCTCTTCAGCAAGCAAAACTTTCACGGGATTTTAAACAATCTCTTTTCCTAAAACTTGTTTTTAAAAATGTACCTATTCTTTGTAATAATTGTAGTCTTAGGACTAAAAATTCTCTCATTTTAACTCCAAAAATAAAAGAGAATTCAAACAAAATTTTCAAGTTATTGTTTTATTGCAGTTCTTTTGAAAAAAATAAAAAAATAAAAATCCTAGGCTGAACACTTAAGATAAATGTGTAATCCTCATCAACAAAAAAACCCAATAAACACTGTTTATGTAACAGCTGTGCCAATCCTGCGCATTCCTACAGTAGGCCAGGCCAAGATGATGATATGTATAATACTGTCAATACCAATAGTGACAAAATTTTAAGTCTTTTCATTGATTCAGATGACTCATATTTTATATTTTGCAAAAAGTGAGAAGACAATGAGGTTCGACAGATGTATGATGAATTAGGCCTACTTATTTTCTATTCAACGAGTCTAAGGCATTTTGTGGCAGACATTATAAGGTCACGAGTCATAAATTCTGTCAGTCAGGTCAATTAAGCTTAACATAATAATAGATTTTCTCAACATCACATAAGATGATTATAGTTAGTTAGCCAAAAAATGTATATTACTTTATCATGAATATACCCTCACTAATGCACTTGGAAAATACCCAGCCAGAAGAGATGTTGAGTATCTACCTTATCTGTTTATTTAAATTATTCTAGTGCCTCATTTACAGATCATTTAAGTGTTAGTAATGGTTATTGTACCACTGATCACTGTACTGTATAGTTTACAGCCCATTTTTAAACTTTCTCAGTTCTTTTAAATTGACTAACTTCCAATGAGTGAAAATGAAATGATAAAATGAAATGATAAAAAAAAATGATTGCCCACCTGGGCACAGGGCTTAATAAACTTACTTATGACTGACGTATACTTATGATAAAGAACTAACTAACTATTTGCAGTTGTTTTCACTTTCTAACTTTCTTAAAATTCTTTCTTATTTATTATAAAAAAAAAAATGTATTTGCCAACTGAAGGCAAGTTGGAGTGACACTGATAGGGTGAGTCTGATATGTTATAAGTAAGTGAAACAACAAAGACTACTTTTTTAAAAGTAAAAAACTAGGCCTATATTAATCATAATTCATAGCGTCTATAATCGGCAATCACCTACCCAGTGTAGATAGCTTAACTGCACAGCACACGGGGGGGGGGGGGGGGATCAGACTTTCACTTACTAACTTACCACATTTGATCACACTCACACACCACGTCCGAAACTGCCACTGTCACACAGCATTCTAAATTCATTCATTGTCATCTTCTACTAAGTCTAAGTTCTACTAGTTAGCCTGACTATATACTATATAACGCAGCCGACATTCTTTTTGAAAAAGGCCTAAATATATAAAACTGTGCAAGGACTAACCTGTATTAATGCGAAAAGGGCACCGACTTGAAAAAGATGCCTCATCTTGTTTAAGTAATCCAAATTATTCGCAGAAAAATAAAGGCACCACTTGCATCGGACACTGCTTGTATACTAAAATTTCCAACCAAAATGTCTTCGTGACGTCATTCATAGAGTTCAACCATCCCTTCCTTAAAGCCCGCGACGATTGGCTGGATTGTGATGTGTTTTTTTGTGTGATTATAATAATATATGAATGAAATGGGGAAATTACCTCGTGTAGTGAGTGGAACCAAAAGCTAAAAATATATTTTGCAATAAATAAATTCCCTCATAAGCTAAAAATGAACCAAGGATCTTTTGATTATTTTAGAATTTAATATGCTCAAAATGTAAAGGAAAATACGATAGAAATTAGGTTTACAGTTTGTTGGTATTTCCAAATACCGCAACTGTTTTCAACCAATGTAACTCATCAGATAGCATGATTTCCCAAGGTTTTCTATATCCTGTAATTTTACCCCTCCACACAAAACCATATTTTTTAGCTACTAACTCAAAGTTTGATCATATTTAAAGTTGAATATTTCAAAGAAAAATGTATTTTTATTAGTCGCCCTTCTTAACATGCCATATAACCCCACCACCAACTCCCACATCCAAAAATACAAAATTTAAAAAAGAAAGAGTGAAGAGGAAAGATGAGATACTTTAAAAATAATGGTTAATTAAGATGTTTACAAAGAACTATAACTTGAACGATGAAATTTCTCTGAAGAACTTTTGAATAAACTATTCCAATTTAATTGATCAGTGTAAAATATAATTTGAAATCATTTTAAAATCGAAGTGGCTATTCGTACCCGGGTACCAGAAGTGAGAGGTTGGGATTAAAAACTGTTTAAAATTTTAATTGTTGGGTTTGTAAGACGAAATGGGGTATCAAATGAAAGATAATTGAATGGACTATATGTTTGTAAACTTAATTCTTCAGTTTAACTAAAATAAACTACCACAAATGACATCCGAATAGCACTGAGTCAAAATGGACCCAGACACGCAGCGCCGCCATTCGCACTCGGGTACCATTAGACCAGTGGTTCTTAACCTGGGTTTGATCAAACCCTAGGGGTTCGGTGATTCGGTCTTAGGGGTTCAGCGGAGGTAAAAATAAAATCAGAAAAGAAAAATCATATTTTATTTTTCCTATTAAGAAGGGTTCGGTGAATGCACATGTGAAACCGATGGGGTCCGGTACCTCAAAAAAGGTTAAGACCCACTGCATTAGACTCAAGTACAAAAAGTCGCAGCCTTTTAAAATAATATTAATTTAATTAAAATTAAGAATGCAGTCCGACTTTTATACATTATGATTTTTTTTTCATGTGTGTTGGGAGGGGGGGGGTGGAGGGTATTCATAGGGTAACATGAACAATTAATTAACTTGAAATAAGGTTTAGGTGGATAGATGATGTGGAAAAAGATCTACAGCAGGTGAAAGTCCAAGCATGGAAAAAAAAGGCATTAGTTAGGTCTGAGTGGAAGGAAGTGGTGAGGCAAGCCAAAGCCCTTCATGGGCTGTAGCGCCACAGGGATGGATGGATGGAAATAAATGTCACTGATTGCGTTTGAGCAAAATAAACTTTTATAAAATACCATATAATTTCATAAAATTGTATCTTTACTATAATCCTCTTTACAACCCGCCACAACCCAGTTGATAGGGCCTACATTAAATAAATAATGCTCTGTATATGGATCACTTTATATACTACATTCCCAGTTTAAAATATAATTATACCTAAAAGCGTCTATAAACCCCAAAACACACAGATATATATATATATATATATATAGAGAGAGAGAGAGAGAGATGGAGAGAGAGAGAGAGAGAGAGAGAGAGAGAGAGAGAGTCTCTGATGCTTTGTATGGGATTTATTTTTATTTTTTATTGTATATATATATCTTTATATACTACATACCCAGTTTAAAATATAAATATATATAAAAGAGTCTATAAACCCCAAAACACACAGATATATATATATATATATATATAGAGAGAGAGAGAGAGAGATGGAGAGAGAGAGAGAGAGAGAGAGAGAGAGAGAGAGAGTCTCGGATGCTTTGAATCGGATTTAATTTTCTTTTTTACAACGGATAGCTGTTAATTATTTCTTGTTTTCTCATTTCTTAGTTTAAACTTTATAAGTTTACTTTTTTAATATATACTATGATGATCATATGATGTGTTTGCATTGTACCAAGACTGGTGCTCGGTAGGTGTGACTACTCAAGGTCCCGCGAAGCCCGTATAATATTAAATATGATTGATTACAGCCAGGCTGTGGCTAACCATAGTTTGTAATTTCCAGTCAAAACCATGCTCGGAGGTACAAAATAATCAAATGATCAGTCTGTAATTTTCCAGCAACGAAAAATTGTTATCATTAAGACCCTTGAATGTGAAAAACTCTCACTATTTTATGTTTAATTAGCTGCTCAATTACCGTCTAAAAAATTTAATTTTTAATTATACATTTCCTTTAAGAGCGTGTACATCTTTTGCTTTGTGTTTTTTCGGATTTTGTTTGTGACAACCATGAGATTAGCAACAACCAACTGCGATGAGTAATTCAGCTCAGGGAAATTCAAGTATTAAGTTTTGGGTTTTTTGTTTGTTTGTTTTTGTTGTTTTTAAATATAAATTTTAGGAGACTAAGGGGGTGAACAAATACCCGTTTCAACGTCCCATTATTACCAGTATGACTATGGCGTGTCTTAATTAGTTAATATCAAAATGGATGAAGTATACAATGTCAAAGGCCCAGCAATATGTAATTTTCCCAAAGCCTCAGCCCCATCCCACAACCGAAAAAAACAAGAAACAACACAGTCTTTGATTGTATTTTTAAATTGTTCCAACAACAATATGTAAATATTTACCTAGGTAATGTTAAATGCCTCATTTACTGTGTTGGGCTTATCTTCTCGTGGAACATCACTGAATTTGCAGAACATTCTCTTTGTCAAAGCACCCATGCCTTTATTCATTTCGCTAAGTGTCTGGTGTCTACCAGATTTTAGAGTAACCGCTGTGTTGTGGTCAGTTTTTCCAGCAGAATATAAATTATAGCAACCGGTTTCAGTGCTTTCTTATTTTTTTGCTCCTCTGCACAATATTGCACACGTTACTGACGTTAAACACTGAGTAAGAATTAAAACAATTTATTGAAATTCAGTCTGTTAATTTTTGTCATCAAACAGTATATGAGCAAAGCAATGACTTTGGTTTTTTTGTTTTTTTTATTTTTATTGGTTGTGTATGAGTGTGAAAGTGAAATAGTATTAGTATGATACTGAGCCTGGAAGCAGTCTTTACTGCCTTTACTTTAGAATTTTGAACTGAATAGGTATCTCTCTACTAACTCTGCTAGGCGCCTATTCAAGCTAGATATTTTGTTTATTGAATTGCAAACATCAAAAGATTTAATTCTTTTATATTAATTGATTTGATAATGAATGTTAAATAACTGCAGGTCAGTTTGCATTATCATCTATATGAATCATGCATGGTTAACAATTCAATAACACTTCAAGTTAATCTTAGACTTAGAGGGGTTTTTTTTTAGCTCAAGATCCAAAGTCAAGTATGACAAAAAAATGGTTCAAAGTTACACAATTTTTAGTCAGACTGGACCTCACTTAAGCTAAAGACCCACTAAAGTTAAAGTAAAAGTCAGTGCACCTTTTCAGATTTTTCTCTGTAACAATTATGGGATGGAGTATTCCTTCACACTTTGTAACAAATTTTTAGTCTTTAGTTCCACCTGAGGCTAGGCCTTATATATTTGTTAAATTTTAAAGATACAAACCTTCAATACCATGTGATGCTGCATTAAATTAATTACTAAGCAAGTAAAAAGCAAGCAATAAGATTGTATTTTGTATAATTTAATTAAAAAAAAATTTTTAAGGACTAATACTGATTCTTACCAGGCACAAACACAGTTTTACTCCTTTTTGTTCCCTCTTACTAAACTAAGTAAATAACGACATCTCCAGAATGCAATCTTTTTTTTTACAACTATATTTAATCTAGAATATATGACCCGATGTTATCGGGATAATAATGGTAGGTCCTGTGTGATAATTTCAATCTGCTATTGCAAAAACTCATCACAATTTCTAACTTTAAAAAGAAGTAGGACCCTATCTATGTAATTATATTTAAGTTTCTAAAATCATTAAGTTTTGAGAAGAATTTATCTACTATATATTATCCGCCTACCCTACTCTCTTTCACGCCCCTAAACTACTTTTTTTTCTCCCTCTAAACATGACCTTAAATTACCAGACCTGTTTACTCTTACGATTTTGGCGTACAATGTACGATTTTGAGGTGTATACACTGATACTTTTGTTTATTTTTTACTATTAAGATAATGTATTTAACGATTTTGTGATGATATTGTACGATTTTGAGAGTTTGGGGGTAAACAGGTCTGAATTACTCAATCTCAATTATCATTAATTATATAACTTTTGTCACTAAAGAAGTTAATCGAGGGACGATTTCTACGCTAGAGAAATACTTTGACTTTAGATTTACCCCTTTTCGTGCCCTTGAACTACAACTTGTTTTTCTCCAAAAATTGTGAAAACATAATCTTAAATTTACAAAAAACTCTATATGTAATATAAATTTATTTTATATTAAAGGAATTTAAAAATTGATATCTTCATCAAAAATTTTTTTAAACTTTCGTCTTGTTTTTTTAAATTATATATTGTCAAAAAATTGTAAAACAAAGAATTCTTTTATCTAAAGAAGAATCTCGCAACCATTTTTCAGGTCAATAACAGACTTGAATGTTATTTTTTTTAAAATTGTTAATCTCATAAAAATACACACCCACTTTACTTTTTGCAAAGTAAAAACAAAAATATAGATTCATTTTTTTTAAAGAAAATATTAACCCATCTATTTTTTTTAAATATTAAATTTACAAGTGTTTAAAATGATTGGGTTTTGATTTTCATGGGTATACCTATATAAATGAATCCACGTTTTGTTAACGCCATTGATTTTCTTAATTGGTAAACATATATTTATTTGTAAAATGTAACATCTCTTTTTTTCACAAATGTAATACCACAGGATTTAAATATATTGTCATCCTTGTAAAAATGTACACATGCTATTTCTTACCTCTGATATGTATGTACCCAAGAAAGTTAATTATGTATCAAATTCATTCCTATACATATCTTGTGCTGCCAGGTCCAAAACGACCTAACCCCCCCTCCCCATTTAATAAAAATTAATAAAATCTTCCACCAGATGTAGTCCCTTCCATACCCAAACTAACATATTTTGCACTTCATATGGTTTGGTCTTATTTGGATTTTCTCTTCTTATATTTGAGGGGCTCACGATCAATTTGTTGATCATTCTGGCTCCTGGTTTAAATTCAGAGTTTGCCTTCTCTTAGATGGGTTGCCGTCTCATTCTTATTTATATATATCTTGATCAACAAGCCTTTAAAAAAAAATTATTTTTGTATATAAAATTGTTCCTTCTATTTAAAATATATTTTATAAAAATTTATTGCTTTTGTTTTTCTTATATAACAGAAAATCTGACAAAATGGACAGTGAGCATCAGCCACTGGCATCGTCTTCCACAACTGAACTTTATACTCAGGATGCCCCTCCTTCGAATGATCCGGCTTTTAGTCATGAATCATTGGATGTAACTGGCAAAAGTAACGCACCGACAACTCCTTGGTATATTCTTCCAAAACGATACGTCATTGCTGCTATGGCTTTTCTTGGGTTCGGTGAGCTTAGGATGTCGCAGCTTTATATTGTGATGAAATCAGTGTTGTTCATGCTTCTTGATTGTCAGTGGTCACACATTTCTTTGGTCATCCCCATTTTTGATTATGCTGCCCACAGGTAATGTTTTTAGTTATTGTTTTTATTATCTACTTTTTTTTTCCTTAAATGGTTTTGTTAAAAACAAAATCTGCATTCTTTTTTTAAATGAATAGCATATTAAATCTTGGCACTTTTTAAATTGTGAAACAAGCTAACAATATAGCCATAATAAATTAACATTTTTAACTGACAACTTAAGGGAAAGGCAAGTCTGATTTGGTTAAAGAAATATTTAAATTATTTGGATTCTCCAGTGCATAAATATTTATGTTTTAAAGTAAATCAAACAGTTGTTGGAAAGGAGGGAGTAGTATTAAAGATGTATTTGCAGTGAAAGAATTACTGTAAAATTGAGATGATAAATTTAAAACATTCCTTGAACCCTTTATTGATTGCGACTATATCAGACAAGCTTATTAGCCAACAGAAAAAAACAGTGTAATAATTTCTTTATATCAAACATGATTTTAACTATGCATATTATTTTTTTCATATTTATATTTATTACTGTGCTTGCATTATTTCCATTAAGTTAAATTCTTTTTAAAAAAAAGTTTATCATCAAATCTGTTAAAGGCCATTTAATTGAGCACTAAATCATATAATTTAAATTAAACATGTAATTTCTTATATATTTTCCTAGCTCATGATGAAAAAAAAAGCTCTAAATGAAGAAATAGATTTATTCTTTTTAGTTTGTGATAAAAAAAACAAAGGTTTTGCAAAATATAATTTTAAGCATTGATATGTAGATTTATAATGAATAGCTTTTTTAAAATAAAATTCCTATTACCCTTATTATATAAGGCTAGTATCTTTGCTGTTTTTTAATTTTAATTTTTTATTTGCTTTTCATATATCTCCTCTGAAGATGTCATTTGATAATGTAAATTAGTAAAATTAAAATGTAAAATTCGCTTAAATTCCAGTCCCGAGTCAAGACAGTAATGTTATTCTTTAGAAAATAAAACCCACATGTGTACATACACAAATGTCTCATCTTTTAAAAGGAAATGAGTGAATACTCTGCAATTAAGCACAAGTAATCTCAGATGGTCTTACTCTTCACTGTTTTATCGTGAGAGTTAATGCTGCAAATCATTAGGCTCTTATGCCAGCAAATCTCATCTTCATTGTTTTACAACGGTAGATTCTTGGGAGATAGAGGACTGCACCAATAGCCATGCCTCTCATGCTGCTAAATAAGCATGGGACTGATGTCTTGCAGTAGCATATCCATTTAGCTCAGGGAAGTACAAGTTTCAACATCTCCTTTAAATTTGATGAAATAACCAGAGCTCCAAGGTCTAAAATAACATTCTTACTTCAGATTCCATAACTCCAGCTCTGACTCATGAGAAATTTTTTGCAACTTTTTTCCTGAGCAAAAGTGTCATCAGCTGATCAGACCCCATTAATATATGTAAGATCCTACACAAATCACGTGCTGACTTGATACAGGGGCATCTTTCTGCAGTCCAGACAAGACTTGTTTTAAATAGACTGAATTAAACCCTATTATTTATTTTATTAAATATTGCTTTAAATGTTAGGGAAATTAAAAATCAGCATGCAATGAAAACTTTACTTTTATTCAGAAGAAAAAATCAAAGAATGAAGATGTAGAGAAGATATTCCAATTTTATAATGTTTTATTCCACCACCAGCAAACCTGTATGCTTTGAGGGTGAACCTAAGTGTGGCTCTTGTTGCTATGACCACAAATAAAAGTGAGATTATCAATGGGACAGCACATTCGGTAAGTTTAAATACTTTCAATTTCTAAGTTATTATTGTCATTAAAGGAGTTCACTGATTGCTGATTCCTACGCTAGAGAAATATTTCAGATGTCTTGTGTTGAAAATGTTTTAATTATGAAATGTTGTGTTGGTTAAAATATATATTTATTTATGTGCTGAAAATGAATATGTACATGGTAATCAATAAATATTTCCATTTATTTAAATCAATAAAAGAATTTTATCTTTTAAGACATTGATTTTTTTAAATTTCATTTTTACTTTGATTGTAATTTTTGTCTATTCTCAATTGTTCAGTACCGGTAACATGAAAGATGTACATGACAAATTTTCTTCTTCACCGTTTTCTCAATAAAAAAACCCATAAAAACAGCTACTCACTTAATGACATATTTTCCAATATTTTTTTAATGCCCATCATCCCAACAGAGAGTGCTTAAAAAAATGATATTTAAGTGTTAATAATAATTGAGCCATGTGCTAGGTTACTAAAATCAAATTTAGCACACAATAAAAAGTTGAGACATTTCTTTCAATTCAGAAAATTAATGTCTTGTTTCTTATACTTATAGTTGGAAAATTCTCGTATGCTTATAGTTGTACCATTTCTTAGACTTGCGAAAGAACAATTTCTAATACTTGCAGTAGAGCAATTTATTATACTTTTAGTGGAACAAACAAGTTTGCTTACTTTCTGTTTTCAATCATGGTGGAAAAGTAAACTTACCACATCACTGTTTGTGTTAATACTAGGTGTTTATTTTGTTAATTCATTTGTTAGTTTAGGCAAGATAACTACATTTTAATACTGAGACTTAAAAGGGAAAAAAAAAAATGTCCTTTGTTAGTTTTAAGGTTATTTGTTTATTTAAAATGTTACAATTCTTAACTCTGTAGGATTTTCAAATTGAACACATCTATGCATTTATTACATATTTATAAAAAAATTATTGAGTCTTTGAAAAAATTTTAATCTCCAGATTTCTGGGCCAGACTTCAACTGGAATGCACAGATGCGAGGACAGATCTTAGCCAGTTTTTTCTATGGCTACATTTTCACTCAACTGCCTGGTGGTATGTAGTGAACTAAAAATCACCATTGTTAAGGTTTTATTTTTAAAAGAGTAAAACATTTTCCATTAGCACAGTATACCCATAATATGATCTCACTGGGGGCTGGGAAAATTGGATTTATCTGGTTTGAAGATGAGCATCAAGATTTTATTGGTTATGATATTTCACATTACTATGACAAGCAATTGTTTAAAGATAATTACAGTATTTTATCATTTTGTCTCATAACATAGTAATTTTGTTTAATTACTTTCACTTTAGTTAGTCTTTTTATTTTTTATATCTTTAAAAAAACTCTCCAAAGGGTTCCTGTCAAATCGCTATGGAGGCAAATATTTGTTTGGTGTTGGAATATTCATGACAGCTCTGCTAACACTGATCACACCATTGCTGGCTTCATGGAGTCCCTACCTTCTGATTGGCTGTCGAGTTATTGAAGGTCTCTTTGAGGTAGTTTTACTCATTTGAATATCTTGGTGTCCTCCCTTCTACTTAGTGGTCTCCCCTCCAACACATTATGTTGATGTTCTCCCCTCCCTAAAGCATTATATTTATCTATTTAATTTCTATTCCTGTTTTGTACTTTTCTGTTTGCTAAATTACAACAGAGTTGAAATGTAATGGGTTTGCTATACACTATACACAATGCTCCTCTTCTTCTCATTTCTGCTGATCATGTCAATCACAATGGAATTAAAATGTAAATGGCTTGCTACTTGTTATAGCAGTGCTCCTCTGTCACAAATGACTGGGGTGGGGTTTAACAATGGCGCTACATTGTTTCTTCAGGTAATTTATAGGGTGGACGGGCATTGTTATGATTTTATTATGTGTTCTTTTGATAATGGTGTTAGTGAGCCATAATAGTTTTTTGTTGGGAAATTCCCCATACATGGCACCACATTTATTAAATGATGAATGAGCTCACAGGCAATTTCTGGTGAGAAGAGAGATGGTTTGTTTTTAAGCGTTGGAGACTAATGGATGGTGATTCCTAAGTGACAGATGTAGTGTGAATAACTGCAATCAAAGATAGACTTTGGGATAGGCAAGTAGCGAGGTGTTAACAGTTAAATAGTCTAAAAAGTCATAACGTTAGACATTTTTTATCTTGGAAATAAACATTATTTTCATCATCTGGACACCTGGAATTTGAGTTGTTTAGTTTTCATTCAAGTCTACGTTGTGCTTTGTCTGTCCCAACACCTAGATACTCATAACATAATTCACAGACAGGAGCGGTCCTGTACTGACCACTTACTTAATCAAAACAGTTTGTGATAAGTCAGGATCCTAGCCTTCCCCCGTAACAACCGTTCTGCGACATCTGGGGGCTCGTACCGGGGTCTAGGCAACAGGAGATGGACAAAGCTGACGTAACAGAGCTAGAGGCCAGACGTCGCTTTGTTCAATAGAAGGTGTCACAGGAAAGATAACGTCAGTGGAGTGCAGACAGGCAGAATATAGAAGACCAGCAATGTACCGCAACGCCAGGCATTGTGACCCACCCACTTGCTATAGATGTCATCATGCAGGTCACATTGTTTTTTGCTGCACCAACCCACGGCGTTGCTACAGATGCTACTCAACTGGTCATCTGGCTTGAGATTGCTGTAATGAGGGCCAGTGTTTTTGTTGCTATGAAAGTGGACACCTGGCCAAAGAATGTAAGCGGCCACGGCTCTGTTTTAGCTGTCTATGCCCAGGCCACTATGCCGTGAGGAGACTATTTCAGGGGCAGTGCTACATGTGTCACTAACAGGGGCGTATCATGAGAAATTGTCCAGTCGTCCGTGACATGGCGGAAGATAGAAATTCTAGTTGCAGAGAGGTGAAAACGGCAGCGATTTGTTTCAGATTAGGATAGGAAAAGAAGTGTGTAGAAAAGAAAGAGGAATCGTTAGTAAAGGAGAACAATAGGACAGGTGTGATTAAGAGCAGAGAAGAGAAAACAAATGATAATGAAGATGAAATTATTATAGGAGGAATTTTGATTGGCGTTAGAGTGAAGAAAAGCGTCTATGGGTTAGTTGGAGATCAAAAGTTCAAAGTGTTCAGACATCATCTGTGTAGTGACATAGTAGTCATATAAGACTTATAGATGATAGCAAGTTTACTGGAGAGAAGGGTACGGCCTTGTTGACTGAAGAGAAGTGTACGGCAGTGTTGATAAATGATGCAAGGCTCAGAGGAGAGAAGACGTTTGTGTCAATCAGCACCCCATATGTTTCAGGAAATGTTCAAGTTGTGTGCATTCCTGACATTCTCTATGATGTCATAGTGGGACAAGTTGTTTAGGACGCATAGTATTACGATGTGAGTGATGACAATTATTTAGAGCTGACATCGACAGGGATAAAGTTTAGTTTAGTATGAGGATAATTACCATATTGTCACCAAGGAGGCTTTCTCATAGAGACCTTAGGCATATTTTTAAAGACTATAGTAACTTTAATTAATTTTGTGGTCTTATCTCTATTTGCCTTTTAAATTTTACATGTGGATTGTTTTTTTAAACTTGTGTAATTTTAGTTGTGTTAGTTATGTCATAATAACAGAGATGTTGTTATGGACATTACCGGTAATTGTCTATGTCAGACCGTGCAGAGCATATTGTAGGAGATGTAGATGTTGTGTAGAGTCTCAAAGAAAATGTGTTATTTTGTGTTGGTGGGTTTGATAATTTGATTGTATTCGTTGTATGGCTGTAGATATGTGTGAGACAGAACTAGATGGATAGTTAGTCTACGCTGGACAGGTGTGAGATAGCATTAAATGAATAGTATCCTACACTACATAATGTGTAGAATAGCATGGAAAGGATGGTTATAACCTGCACTGGGTATTATGTATGAAGTTATCAGCTATAGTTGGAGGTTGGTCATTTGTGGAGTTTTTTAAATTTGTCAATGTATTGAAAAAAATTTTTGAAGGTGGAGCATATGACACAAATTATCACTGGGAACACTGGGGCTACAGGAAGACAGTGTTAACAAAGTCAGGCATGCTCCTCGACCAACTACGATAAAGGAGCGTTTCTTCCTTGGTCTCACTGGGTAAAACAAGGACTTCATACCAAACTATGCGACCCTTACTTCTCCATTGACGGCTCTAACTAAAAAGGGACAACCAGACTTAATTAAAATGGGGAGAAGACCAGGAAAAAGCATATGACGCCATGAAATGAGGAATCAGGAGAGACCAGGTATACTACAATCTCTTACGCCATGAAAGGAGGAATCAGGAGAGACCAGGTATACTACAATCGAGAAAGAGTGTATGGCAATAGTGTGGGCCATAAAAAAATTCGAACTATATCATTTACGGAAAGCAGTTACAAACTGACCATCAGCCATTGCAGTGCATTAGCACATCTCGATTTGTGAGCGCCAGGATCATGAGATGGGCTATGTTTCTACAGAGCTACAGTTTTTGTCTGCAGTCCATTGCTGGGGCAAATTATGTAGAGGCAGACTTTCTAAGTAGACTTGGCTGTTAAACTACTCTGTTTTCTGAGATTTAAATTATGGCGAGAGTCGAATTGAAACTATATTTTTAATTATTTCTCTATAGTTAATGTGTATGAATGAAACATGGATTTATTAATCTAAGATGAAGTAGATGTTCACGAAGATACTGTAGTCTCAAAGATTGTATTGTGTATGCTATTTTATGGTCACATTATTTTGTTTTATTATTGATTGTCATGTTTATAACTGTGGGAACCAGGTTGGGCTGTATCATGTGTTTGGTCACCATCTTGTTCCATCTGTAACTGCGCTTGTCGGTTGTGTCCCTGTAGCGGAGGTAAAAAAAAAAAATTAGGTTAAGGAGGTGAGCTTGGTGTATTTGTAAACATGACCAAGCCATCTCTTGTTGCTGGGTGATCTCCATTCAGACTCAACATCCCAAATGCCTGTGTTCCCTTGATGATGCCTCCATTCTATTGTTGTTTTTTATCACTTTCACCACTTATTGTGACCATAGCTCGTTAGGTCATTCACTCAGTCAACTCTTTCAGTGGTCTGTTGTTCACAGTGATTGTTTCAACCTCTCAATGATTTAAATCTCATGACTAGGCATTTTTCTGGCATTGTGTGTATAAAATTATTTTTTTTAATCTATTTGATTTATAAAATATTATTATCTGACAAAGCTTCTTTTTTTCCTCACAAACCATCAGGGAGTGACCTACCCATCCATCCATGCCATCTGGTCAAAATGGGCCCCACCATCTGAAAGGACAAAGCTGGCCACATTTGGCTTTTCAGGTAGAAGCTTCAGATATTTAAATCTCTTGGGACGTAGGGTGGGCTTTTCAACACAATTTATTTTAAAATGATTTTTTAAATGTGTGGGTTGATTTGACCAAAATAAGTTAAAAGTAAAACAATAAAGTACACATAAAAGCCAACTCATTACTCTACACAATTACATTTCATAAAAGTCAGCTCATTACTTTACACAATTACATTTCATAAAAGCCAGCTCAATACTCTACACAATTACATTTCATAAAAGTCAGCTCATTACTTTACACAATTACATTTCATAAAAGTCAGCTCATTACTTTACACAATTACATTTCATAAAAGCCAGCTCATTACTCTACACAATTACATTTCATAAAAGCCAGCTCATTACTCTACACAATTACATTTCATAAAAGTCAGCTCATTACTTTACACAATTACATTTCATAAAAGCCAGCACATTACTTTACACAATTACATTTCATAAAAGCCAGCTCATTACTCTACACAATTACATTTCATAAAAGTCAGCTCATTACTTTACACAATTACATTTCATAAAAGCCAGCTCATTACTTTACACAATTACATTTCATAAAAGTCAGCTCATTACTTTACACAATTACATTTCATAAAAGCCAGCTCATTACTCTACACAATTACATTTCATAAAAGCCAGCTCATTACTCTACACAATTACATTTCATAAAAGTCAGCTCATTACTTTACACAATTACATTTCATAAAAGCCAGCACATTACTTTACACAATTACATTTCATAAAAGCCAGCTCATTACTCTACACAATTACATTTCATAAAAGTCAGCTCATTACTTTACACAATTACATTTCATAAAAGCCAGCTCATTACTTTACACAATTACATTTCATAAAAGTCAGCTCATTACTTTACACAATTACATTTCATAAAAGCCAGCACATTACTTTACACAATTACATTTCATAAAAGCCAGCTCATTACTCTACACAATTACATTTCATAAAAGTCAGCTCATTACTTTACACAATTACATTTCATAAAAGCCAGCTCATTGCTTTACACAATTACATTTCATAAAAGCCAGCACATTACTTTACACAATTACATTTCATAAAAGCCAGCTCATTACTTTACACAATTACATTTCATAAAAGCCAGCTCATTACTTTACACAATTACATTTCATTAACGCTAGCTCATTTCTCTACACAATTTGTTCTTTTGTTTTCATTGAAACCAAGAATGCAATGAAAATTGGTTTTTTAATCAATAATTTTTTCATAAGCTTGCCACGCATGCTTGTTGGAGCATGGAGGTGTTATTTCATTAATTATTGGTGGAAATTTCCCTTGTAAAAGTATTTTAATTTTGCACTGTTATGGTAATGGCCATGACCCATTTTTATTATTTTTTAATTTGTCGTAAATGATTAAAATTTATAGGCAAACACATAAATACTATTTACAAATGCATGTTGAACAATTATTGGGAAATTAATGGGATGTTATTCACTTTTTAGGATCCTATTTTGGCACAGTGCTTGCCCTTGTCATCTCTGGTGCTCTAGCTGAAAGCTCAGCTGATTGGCAGTCCATATTTTACATATTTGGTGAGTTGATTTCTCTAGTATTTCTTTGTATTCTTCGCTTGTCTGCCTTCTTATCCCTTGCCTGCTAATAAATTTAAATTCTCATGACATTGAGCAAGGCCAAAAGTCCAACCATTAATAAAACGAATCGTTCAGATATTGACATGTTTTTTAGACATGCCTTAATATAATCCATACCCTTTCCCTCTGCAGGCTCCCTGGCCATCATCTGGTTCCTGTTATGGGTCATTCTTGTCACAGAGAGTCCTGCTGGACACCCTGGAATAACCAATGCTGAATTGGACTACATCCAGACTTCCATTGGTTTCACTGAGGAGCAAACAAAGGTAGAAAATTGGGTCAACCAATCCATTTTTCATCCAACATTTTGGTAATTCTCTTATGAGACTGCCAATGTTTGAGAAATTAAGTGACATTTCTGGTTCTGTTCACAGCGTGTGCATTATGAGACTGCCATGTGTAAGGAACTGACTGACATTTCTGGTTCTGTTCACAGCGTGTACATCCTCCCTGGCTGCAGATCATTAAATCTGGGCCCGTGTGGGCCATTGCTGTGGCTCATTTTGTGGAGAACTGGGGCTTCTACACTTGGCTCACCGAACTGCCCACCTTCATGACACATGTGCTCAAGTTTCAAATTGAAGAGGTGAGACTTGTATCAGTGAACAAGTGACACTGTCAGGCCTATAGACAATAGTGAACAGGTGATATTGACTGGTCTGTAGTCAATAATGAGCAAGTGATACTGTCAGGCCTGCACAACATATGGCCTGCGGGCCCGCCAGCACTCACTGCGAACTAACGAAATATTTTTTATCTGTATTATTTTCTTAATAGCTTTTCCCTTGTCTTTTGGCCCACACAAGTCCTATCCTATATTCCTGTTGCCCCAATGAGTTTTTCATAAAGTATAACGGCCCGCTTTACATTTTGAGTTGTGCAGGCCTGCTGTAGACAATAGGGAGCAAGTGATGCTGTTAGGCCTGTAGACAATGGTAAGCAAGTGATACCATCAGGCCTACAGACAATATTCACACCAATTTGAATTTATTTTTTTTTTCCTTGTTGTTGCTGATTTATATTTTTTGCCTGTCAGGAGAGCACTAATAGAAAAGTAAGACTCTAAACTACTGTGGCTGTTCATTTCACTACTACTACCTGTTTGGAAATAAAGTTCTTGGAGAAGATTGAAATATGAATAAAGCTAATAAATGAAATACATTATTAATTCTAGATTTATGTCTTTTCTAAATAGATGCTTCTTATTCATTAAATTCTGTGATATTACATGAGCCCGCAGAACACATTTTTTGGTTCATACATTTGTATAATTATTTGATGTTGTGTTGTTGTTTTTATAGTTTAAATTGGACCATAAAAGATCATCTTAAATTTTGAATACAGGTGCCTTCAGTTAAGCATAGCAACACAATATGTTGAAACAGTAAAGTGTACCGCAAGCCAACATTTTGAAAAGCACTGGTTTATGTCTGGTGCTGTCTTCTGTTTTCAACAGGGAGGTTTCCTGTCTGCTCTGCCTTACCTTGTGATGGGCATTGTCGTTTTCATGGGAGGGTATTTTGCAGACGTGCTTCGCTCTTCCTTTAACGTGCCGACCGTTGCTGTGCGCAAAATTTTTACTTGTGGAGGTGAGATGTTGGTATTGTGTACCTGTGGAGGTGAGATGTTGGTATTGTGTACCTGTGGAGGTGAGATGTTGGTATTGTGTACCTGTGGAGGTGAGATGTTGGTATTGTGTACCTGTGGAGGTGAGATGTTGGTATTGTGTACCTGTGGAAGTGAGATGTTGGTATTGTGTACCTGTGGATATGAGATGTTAATATTGTTTTCCTGTAGAGGTGAGACATTAATATTTTGTACCTGTAGAGGTGAGGTGGTCTTTGGCTGTACCTGTGTAGGTGATTTGTCAAAGTCTTGTATTTGTTTACTTGAGATATTGTTATAAAACACTTGTAATTAAATTGGGGGAACCTGTATAAAACTTAACAAGCAAGGAATGAAATCATCCCCTACAAACATGTTCTTCTCAATTTATGTTGGGCTCAAACGTAATGGAACAAAACTGTTTCAAGTAATGTATTGTAATATTCTGTACATGTTATATTATGTACATGTTTTATTCTGTACTTATTATATACCCTACATTCTAATTTAAGTAAATATACTGAAATTAAACATGACTGAATGAGGTATTTTTATTTTTTTTTGTTTAGCATTTTTTATCCAAGCCATATTCATGGTCGCCGCTGGCTACCTGATGTCCCGTGTGGCTGCTGTCGCCTGCCTGACAGTTGCTGTTGGTGTGGGGGGCTTTGCCTGGGCCGGCTTCAGTGTCAACCACCTGGACATCGCCCCGCAGTTTGCCAGCATCCTGATGGGCCTGTCTAACACCTTTGCCACACTGCCTGGCATAGTTAGCCCCAGTCTGACCAGTGTCATCGTCACTGATCAGGTGAGCCAGTCAGACCATTCTTACTGTGTTCAACCGTTGTCTCTGTGTCTGTCCATGTAAGGAAACACATTATGGCATTGATTAATACTATAAATTAAGAATAATTATAAAAGCTTCTCTTACTAATGACTAGTGAAACTAATTCAGAGAATTTTTACCCATAATTTACAGTTTCTCTAACTAATGACTAGTGAAACTAATTCAGAAAATGTTTACCCATAAATTACGGTTTCTCTTACAAATGACTAGTGAAACTAATTCAGAGACTGTTTACCCACAAGTAACAGCTTGTTGCAACCATTATTTAAAACAGTTATTGCATGTGCTTGAAAGTAGACAGCCTGTTAATTTTTGTATATTGAAGCTAGACCAATCATGTATAGCAGTGATGTTCTTGTTATGACATAGATGGTAGTCAAGCAGACTTAAAAATATTGCAGCTTCTACATTGTAATTATTGTTCCATAAAGTAAAGTTTTCAAATTTTTAGAACCATCTGGCTTTAACTGATACAGTTTTGTTTTCTGTGTGTTTTCCAGTCATCAGCGGGAGACTGGCAAGTTGTCTTCTACTTGACATCCTGTATGTACGGCATTGGAGCTCTTGTATATGCAATACTAGCCGCAGGTGAAACCCAGCCCTGGGCGCAGATTCCTGCAAGTTATCAGTCCTACCTGGATGACCCGGAGGGAGACTGAAGGGCTTGTCAATCATCAACTGCTGCTAACTCTTTGTTACCCATGCTAAAAAATCTTTTTAATTTTAATTGTTTATCGACTACCAGTTGTTATGGGCTGGTAGTTGGCAATATATATTCCTTGTAGTTTAACTGTTGCATGAAATGTCTTAGTCTACAAACAAATTATTTTTTTCACAAACTTATTTATTTATCATGACTTTATATATTACATTTTCTTTGCTAAAATTTACACGTTGATTAATTCATTTTTAAGATATATAGCAGGGCCATTCATAAATGGCCTTAGCATTAATTGTAAAACAGATAGGAACACTAAATAAAATCTCTGAAATTTAAAATAATAATTCATCCATGTTGAAGCACTGAAGAGCTCACAAATCTTGAGCCAGAGTTGTCTACATTAAATCAGAGTTCTGTCCCTGATGCACATTTTTCATTCCGGTATATGTTTTTAATTAAAATATAGATTGCAATGGCTATGATCAATTTCTAATTACAATTTAATTTCACATTCCATTCTGTTATGAATACATTACTTTATACCATCGGTCCCAACCTAAAAAGTCTTTTTCAGAATGAATTTAGGCCTAGCCTATGTCTTAAAAGTTAATGATGGTAATGAGTTTTCTGGAGCGGCTGTGGAACCCCTAGAAGCACTGCTTTATACAATTAGTGCTGTCGTGGTAAAACTTCAGCTCTCAGTTTTGAACAGACACAAAGGAGCATAATCACCCCAAGTGGAGCACAAAATTGTGCTAGTAATGACCAGGCTTGAGCAGACATTATCCATTTTATTTTTAAAATGTTTAACTTATACATTATGACTTTATTCCCCTGACCCTCATGTCTGAGCTCTGCGCCAACCAAAGCTGTCGTCTAGACTAGATTTCAAAGTGTAGGAATTTATTGAAAAATGTTTACAAATTACTACACATGATCAATAATTGCATGTTTATCCCCATATTTAAAAAAACCCCAGAAATTGTATCAAAGCTTCTAAACAAAATAATTAACACTGCAGTAGAGCTTTCTCCCCTATTAATTGGAGGCCACTTGAAAGGAAACCTCCAACCAATATCTATCCAACAATTGAGGTCATGGCCATCAAACATTCCTTGGAGATTAAATATGTTTTACTTTAAACCAGTTTTTTTTTATTTCATGGTATGCATAAGAATTCATGAGTAAACAAAAATGTATTATGATATGAATCTTATGCCCTGTGTTGCAGTATAAGTCATAGCTTTCAAATGATTATTTCTTTTGGCCATGATGGCACACTAATCAAAGTATAGCATTAACTAAAAGTGTAGATGAATGAAATACTGATCTAATTGTTTGGTGAGCACTGGGATATAACTTTGTATCCTAGACCAGTAACTTTCAGTAAGCTTTCTTACATAACAAACATAGTGGCCCACTTGCTTACAATCAATATTTTCTTTCACATATTTTCTCTCTTTTGCTAAATATTTTCTGTGTACTTATCCGTGAATTTTAGCATTATTTGCAATTAATTTTACTGTAGTTAGTAGTATACACTTTTTATATTTTTGTGAACTGTGATTACAGGTTTATTTTTAAAAAATCAAATTATTTAATCTGGCCTTTTGGCTGGGAATATTTTGTTGTTTACAACTGATGTTAAAACTATCTTTTAAATGTTGTGGTGAGATGTGAATAAATAAATATTGCAAGTTATCTGTATACATTTTTTGTTGTTGTGTATACATCTTACTTGGTTGCATTAGTTACAGTAGGGGCTGTCAGACGTGGTGTCAGTGTCTTACAAATTCCATATGCCAAGCCCGACAAGTGTCAGACTTGGTTTCAATGTCTTAAAAATTCCATGTGCCAAGCCCAGCAAGTGGCAGACTTGGTGTCAATGTCTTAAAAATTCCATGTGCCAAGCCCAACAAGTGTCAGACTTTGTGTCAGTGCCTTAAAAATTCCATACGACAAGCCCAGCAAAAACAATAGTGATGCAGAAACTGAAATTTTATGAATGGGCATTGGCACTAATAACAGAATTAATCTAGACACAAGGCCGGGGAATATTCTAATGCTCTGTGTCTTGTGTGGTGAAGGTTGTAAAACAATGAAAGAAAAAAAAAAGAAAATTTTTTATCCACGTCGCATTATTACTTTACTTCCTTGAGAATTTTAGCAAATAATGTAAAATATTTTGCTGTCACACATATTCACTTGTTTCATAATCGGCAAAAAAATCATATGTATGTCAAACAACAGTGTCAGTACTAAACGTTTAACTCACATAATTTTGAAAAGCAACAGAATATTCAAATGATTTAAGTTATTAGTTTAAGTGAAGATGGTACCGAGAGTCGACTTTTAAGCATAAGAATAAGAACCAGCAGAAGACTTACTTAATGATAACGTCCCCTGAATAAATCATTTTTTTATTGGGCACAACGAGATTATAAAAATTAGAACTTCAATAGATTTCATTTGAATTACAACTAAATGAGTAAAATTGATACATGAGTGAGATTAATAAGATTAAAATAACCAAGTCACTAGGGCTATATGAAAAGAACTTATAAGTCAATTGAAAATCCAGGGAAGTCATTTTTACAATTATTTTTCTATTAAAGACAAAGAATTACAAGCTTGTTATAAACTGTTTTTGTTGTTCTTCTATATATTAAGGGCCCACGATCAATCGTTTTATTACTCTACTGAAGAGGAGGAGATCAAACTGAAACAAAATGCAGATACAAATGTTGTTTATAGGTGCACTGGAACTTAACGATAACACATGGAAACCTTTAAATGGATATCTGCTTTCAAATTTTCAATTTTTTGTTAATGCATTTGAGTTTCCATTGAAAACCATTATCAAGCATTTTAAAATGTATTTCTTTATGTCAGGGAGGAAAAAAATATGTCAACTTGGTTTAATCAAATTGCATTAGATGAACGAATTTTAAAAAAAAAATATATATATATATTTACGCAAATCATACTCCTTATAAGTTGAACCATCAAACTTTACAAGAGCCTCTTGTTTAATTCACACGTGATCAAAGGCATGCTATTTAATACTTATTGACACAAATGTAATTATAAGCATTTCTCTAAGTAACACACACACACACAAAACTCTAAGGAGCTAACTCGCCAACATTATACACGATACACATAATATACATGGGTTGATTTATTTAACTGTTGATATTGGCAAATACAATCTTTAAAATCAACAGCCTATTAAAATAACAGTTAAAAATTAATTATGGTTGTCATGTGTTTTAGCATAATAAAACATTTTCTTTTAAAGTTATAAAGAGGAAAAAATGTTGGCCTATGTAAATAAATTATGTTTGTAGCTTGTAACCTCTCAATCTATAGGTGCAAATTATAATAAAGATTACATCGTTTGGGGAATCCTGGTAACATGTGAACCAAATATTTTTCGGAGCTAGAAATAAAGATAAATATGTAAATGGTGTTCATTCAAATTTTTAAAATGCAAAATAAAATGATATGCAATCTGACCAGAACTGCATCAAAACAAACTACCATGTATGCAACTCCAATCTTGTTGGTACTAAACAGTATTAATATAATACATAATAGACCTAAATATTTAACACCAGACAAAATTGGTATAGAGCCTGATAGGGCTTATTGATAAATAAGTCTTTCTGGCAATGATTTTTTCTCTCTAATTTGGGAACTTAAACAAAAAACATTTCTGAAGCGTCTAGAAAAAAAGTTTTTATTTTAAATATTTAGGCACACATTTTACAATTTTAAGGAGGAAAATCAATCACAATTTTAAACTTTACAGTACGTAAATATTCTATAATATTTTATATCCTAATGCTAAACACAAATGATAAATTAGATAAAGCCTGCATGTCACTAAATTGTACAGCTTACTATTTCAAGCAGTAGCATTGTAAAATAATATTATAACTTATTCATAAAAATAAATCTTGTAACCCATAAAGCCCATTATATGCCAACATATTCCTGTATGTAAATGATTAGAATGCTGCATGAAAAAATATGTAATGATATAATGATATCACATGAAATGCTGTAAAAAATGATGCAGGTGCAGGTGGGAATGATTTGACGCCCACAGCACAGTGATTCCGAACTGGGATTCACAGCCCTCTGCAAAGAATTCTGCAAGGCACCAGATACTAAAACTCTATTTTTTGTTTAAATTTTCAAATAGATATTTATTTTCTGAGCCATGTTTTTTCCCTTCTATTATTGTCTAAAAACCAAACCAAAAAAAAGCGCAAAAAAGATTTTATTTGTTCCAGTCAAAAGGGTTGATTTTAATAATACTGGGAATTGTTGCATGCTATTGTATATATGGGCTATCGTGGGGATAGAGTCCGGTGAAGGCATCATGGCAGGAAGGCAAAGCTAAGTTATTATTGGCTTCAGGAGAACAAGGGAATTATAGAAGCATTTTATTAATAATTTCCACATTTTGACTGGAGAACACAAAGGAGGAACCATAAATCCTCCAAAACAACTGTTAGCTTGTAATTAAAATATAAGACTTGACACTGAACTTTGATGTAAAAATTCAAAAATATATTTTTTTAATAAATGTATAAGTGGAATAATGCTTAGATGGCAACTTTGGATTTTGAAGTTGATCAAAGTTGCACATTCAAAAAAACCACTGGCAATGTCTAGCAGATGAAGTTAAAATTTTACAACAAAAAATAAGAATATTGTCAACATACATGTTATCAATCAGAGAAGTATTATGTTATTGATGAGCTCACTTTGCCAAGCCATAAAACTTCCAATACATCAAATTTTGAAACGTAACATTTTTTACAACTAAACAAACTCATTTTAAAAAATTCTAACTAAGGTAAGGAAATTTTAAAACAGGCTACAAGTTGGTTCAAAATCAAAGAATGATGGTTTTAGTTTGTCCATCTTAACAATATTGGAAAAAGAAATATTTCTTAGAAAGACAATGTTTTCATTCAAACAAAGGTGTAAGAAGTAATTATTTTTTACATATAAATATGAAGAATCAAGACTTGGTTTCATTCAAGTAAACTTAGCAGCAAAGATCAAGCTTTTTTTACTTGCTTAGTCTTAATGGGAAACTTGAAAATCAATTAAATTGATAGCCATTCTTTTAGTAGGCTTATAAGTACGTCAACTAATGTCTAGTAAAAAATAATGAAAATATGAAAAGAAAATTGTTGTTTTGCTGTTTAAATGAGGTTGGGTTTCTGCAACACATTTGTTGTTTGCATCTTTTATTTCTTAAAAATTGTCTCTACCCTGTATTTTTTTTATCACCTATTTTTATAACTTAATCTCAATCTCCCTCATTATATTTAAAATCAACTATGCACAAACTACAAGCTAGTTAATAGGTGAAACTGAACCATGCTGAGATCAATTAAAACAATAAAAACAACTTAAACATTATTAATAACCAAATTTTTTATATTTCAGATTTAAGTCTAATATTCTTTCTATTCGTTTTCACTAACTTCATCTTTGAACAAATATAATCTAAGTTGTTCTATGCTATGCCATTTTCTTTATCCTCTGTCTTTTCCAAAATGAAGTGATCTGAATCAAGACGCATCATTGGGCACTGGGAATCATAGGCATCGGGTGGCACCTCCTGGTTCTTGCTGACTAATTTTCGATGAATTTTAAGCCTTGGTCCCCAATCTTGTGTTGGTCTTGTCAGTTGTTTTATGACCTGGAATAAAAATCATTCCAAAATTATAAAAAACATGGAGCTTTAAAGTATTAGGTTACTGACACAAAATTTAAATACATTTTTTAAATGCTTTTTGCTAGTTTAAATCAACATGTTTGAATCTTAAGAATGAGTGTTTACAAAAATAAAAAAATTAATTTTAATTTGTAAAAATTATGACCTATCAACCTTTATATTTTTAATTTCTTGAAGAAGTTATCACTAAAAAGACCAAGCTGCTATTAGGCTATCAAATAATTGTAAATGTGATTAACTATACATTAAGCAATGTTATTAATATTTTTTTGATTTTCAGTTTTATAGAAAATATCTAATTTATTATTTATGGATGCTTAAAGTTGACTTTTTATAATGAAAACACAAAAAAATTCACGTTTTTAGACATTAAGCTGCATGATTAGCCATGGCTCACAATTCTCTGATTTCTGCAAACTTCAAATAAGCTTCTCTCTCTCCATAATTATAACATAAAATATCAGTAAGTCACAAAGAAAATTACTGTCTAAACTAACCTCAACTAGACCCTTGCTGCGCATACTTATAACACCTTTGATCACTTTGTAGAAAGCCACAACAGGAATGGCCAAGACAGAGGTTAATGTTATGATGATACCGATCCCTTCAGCCCAAACAGGAAACATGTAGTCGCCATAGCTGGTGGGGTGAAAATCAACCCAGGTAAATATCAGGATGATCTGAAATAAATTAAGTATCATCTTGACATGAGACTGAAATGCCTTGTGGATTTATCTGTAAAAAGATCAATGGCCATCATGTATTGATGAGTTAATAAAATGAGGCATGCCTAACTGTAATAGGATGGGCACATGGTCAAAAGGTGGTCACCATTTTTTTAATATATATTTTTTAAGAAGAACGTATTAAAACTCAACAGCCACATGAATGGATGTGGGTGCAATAATTTGTTGAATGGTCAATCTTTTTATATTTCATACACTTAAAAGGAACAAAAATCATATTCATCAAAAATGTGTAGTTAATAAATTTAGTAGTAGAATACTTCCCTTTTATTTCTTGTTTCTTAAAACAACAATAAAATTAAAAATCCCATAAAAACATTGTTTTTCAAATAAATCCTTTGTATGCATTTTTTATTAATTTATTTTTTATTACAATTCTATTGTCCCACCCACTTTTACAGCACTGATTTATTTCACCAACTATTTCAAAAAAACAAAAGAAATATGTTTAAATTGTTTACTGCCTGTTAATGTTTTGTCCCACTTTTATAATAAGCAACTGTTAATTCAATAAATATAGTTATAGCAGGTATAGAGTAAAAGTAATACATTTTCCTAGATGCAATTACAATTAGTTTATTCATAGTTTTATATTTGCACAAACTGTAACTTTTAGTCAATACCGACATCAGCAGACATAGCCAAAAGCATTTACTAGTAATGCCAACATGTTTTTTTGAAGCAACATTTCTGCTTTCATATGTGCTTATTAACCACATGTGCCATGACATTCCTGGGGATAAAAGTGACTACAACTCACCAGCAGAGCAATAGGTGTAACAAAGCTCCATGAGATACTCCACAGTCGACTCGGCCGTTTGCCCAGCATTAACTCGATGTCATCCATAAATTTGGAAGCTCCTAGAAAAATATAAAATAATATTAGTATCAGTTTATTCCCTCTTGAAGAAGTGGGGGGGGGGGGGTGGTGTTTGGCTGCATGGTTCATTTTAGTAAGATTTGTTGACAGGATTTTATTAAACTGCCACTTTTTTAAAAGTTGACAGGTTTAATAATCAATATATTAACTCGATGTCATCCATAAATTTGGAAGCTCCTAGAAAAATATAAAATAATATTAGTATCAGTTTATTCACTCTTGAAGAAGTGGGGGGGGAGGGGTTGTGTTTGGCTGCATGGTTCATTTTAGTAAGATTTGTTGACAGGATTTTATTAAACTGCCACTTTTTTAAAAGTTGACAGGTTTAATAATCAATACTTAAAACTTTAGGATTATTGCCTAAGATTAAACAGATTACAGTAAATTAAGTTGAATTTTGTTCTTTATTGTTTGGACACATCTCAACAGAATTTAAGGTTAACAATAAATTAAATTCATCAACTTCTGGTGGGTTAAAAAATCATCTCCACCAGTAACAGATTTTTATTATTATTTGGCCAAACATATATCCAGTGAAAAACATTGTGTAATTTTCATGTTTTCATTATATATTAAATCAACCATACTGGTCATCCCTAGACCACTATTGCACATCAAATTCTAGGAAATGACCTTTCTGTTACAATTCTATCATGGACTTCATTACAAACATTTAAATGCATGGAAAACATCCACGCAGCAACTGATCCACCTACCATAGACCCAGGATAGAGCCACACACTCAACAAGTCCAATGGCAAGTAAGGAATATGTGGCTGCATAGTTATCAAACAACTGTACAACATACATGCCTCCCTGTGGACAGATTTAACAATTTAATTTAATAGTTATTTTGACAGATGTAACAACGAAACATAGAATATTCAGTGGTAGTTAAATTACACTTAGTATTAAAATAAATTTAAACACTTTGGGGAGATTATTTAAACTATACAATTTCCAGTTAAGATGAATAACAATTTTTTTTAGCAAAGAGGCAATTTTTTTAAAACAACAAATTAATTATTTAACATGTATCAAAATACAATAAAAAATATTTTTAAAAGAATTTTAAAAAAACACTTTCTAACAAAGATGAGTTTAAATACGCTAAAAGTTAGAAAATAATTAAATATTCTTAAAAATGCATTAAAAAAAAAAAAAAAAAAAAAAAAAAGGGGGGAGAGGTGTGGAAAAAAAAAAAAAAAAAAAAAAAAAAAAAAAAAAAAATAAAATAAAAAGGAATAAAAAAAAAAAAAAAAAAAAAAAAGACTGTGCAGAAGTGTTGATGAAGCTAAAGGATTGGAATCGAACATAGATAAAACTTAAATATGTTTTATTTTGATTAATTTTCTAAAATAATTTCTACACAGACTTTCTTTTACTCATCTTTGATAGAAAGTCTTTTTTCTTAAAGATTTTTTAATATTTCTTATTTGCTAATTTTTAGTATTAAAACTTCAATCTTTATTTTATCGACAAAAGAAGTATCATTTACTTTACTTTTTTTTTGTTAAAGCCTCAAAATCATACAGCTCTTTTATGACGTCACCCACCCACCCTCCAAAGGAATGAAGAAGACACAACTCAGTTGAAACAAGACAATCAACACATTTCAGATGACCACTTCATGAGAAAATGATCAACTGAGTTTAAGTGTCACATGTGTAAACAAAAAATAAAAATCCATCCACAAGATGGAAATGCAAGTAGAAAGATTTTTAAAGATTCCTTGGAAACTTGATGTTAAAAATAGCATATCTATAACTGTAAATCCATATTTTTTAATTATTTTTTTTAATGAAAAAGAACAAGAATAGTAAGAAGAAGAAGAATGAAAAGTAAAATAAGAAACATGATGGGTAGAAACATGATGGGTAGAAATAAGAGGGGTAGAAATCCTTTTCAGACAAGAAAACATGTTCTCTATTTTTATGTGTTATGATCTTTACATGAAATCAGCTAATTGAACAATTAGGACAAACCAAATTTTCTTCCCTACCTGAGTACAGAAAGACAAGCCAATAAGGTAACCAGTGACAGCTATTGCCAACAATAAGATAAAGGATCTCTTGCTTGGTCTGAAAAACTCTGTGAACTGATCCATGATCGTGGTGTGAACAGTTGTGACAGTAGCTATCTGTACAAAAATTATTTACATATTTATATTATTGGAGATGGTACATAGTATTTATATTACTGGAAATTGTTCACAGTAGCTCACATTGTTTTATGGATGGCTACAGCTAACAAGTGCTTAGCTCTGGTGGTCGATTAAAAAAAAAAAAATCAATATTCATGGTATTCCATTCATTTAAGCATTATTTAATCTATAAGTTTTTGTTTTATTTAAAATGCTGTGTTCTTTCTGACCCACATAAACTATTCTAATAATTTCTTATAATTTAATCAAATAAAATTTCCATTTCATTACATGTTTTTAGTTACATCTTTCTAAAGTTAATGAGCTAAAACATATTTTTTAAACTAGCCATGCATGTGTTTCATTAATTTAAAATTCATAGGCTTAATATAATTTTTTAAAATTTTTTTGTGTGCACATGCAATTTGTTGTAATACACAAACCTGAGTTCCTAGGCCAAGTGTTATTAACATCAAGAAGAAAAGAACAGACCAAAGTTGTGATACAGGAAGTTTGGTTACAACAGCTGGATAGACAACAAAAGCCAGACCAGGACCTGAAAGTTATTATAATAAACTCTCATTTACAATAGGATGAGAAACTCAACTAGTCTGATATATAAACCTAATCTAACACTAGAGCACCTACATTTTTGTAGTTTTTTTAAATTAAAAATTTATTTTTCAATGCTCTAAATCAACTCATTGGATTTTTAAAAATAAGTCACCGCTAAAATCATGTACTTCACTCATTGCCAAACAAATTACAGGTAACAATTTAATTACTTTGACCATTATTATTATTTTGAAAGTTGTTCTTAAAAAACATTTTTTTTGGTTGTAATTTGAATACAATTGGCCGAAACGAAAAAGAGTTACCCAAATATTTTGATAGCCTTAAGATTCAATTTACACACAGTTGTTTTCTAAATTAAGAAATTAAGTTCCTGACATCTGTCTTACCGTCACTTGCTACACTGTCCACTGACTGGTGGAGCTCATTAGCCATGTAACCAATAATTGAAAATATTACAAGTCCTGCAAACACACTGGTCAGTGAATCAAGGATGGAAACTAGAATAGCATCACTAGATGGGATTAGAAAGATAGATATTTGATTATTATTTTTTATTTATAGTGCAGTTTTAAAATTCTAGGAAAAATAAAACATTCAAATACCTAGTTTTCAACTAAGCTGCACACATTTACAGACATAAATAAATTTCATCACAGATGCTAAAACTTTGCAAATCATATATGTTATTATTGTTTATATGAGTTTGATTTCTGTTGATATAAATACAACAAAATATGATGTAAGCAAAAATATTTTTCCCTTTTTAAAAAACAAAGGGAAAACACAATGATATTTTGCTCTTAAACATATTTTTAAACCAACATGCGTGATGGAACAAAATATCTATTTTTTTATCACTACAAGTATCATTAAATTTTTTAGTACTACATCTGATTAAAGAAACTTTTCTATAAACTATTTAAAAAAGGACATTCACAATTTTAAATAAGTTCATGAAAATTCTTGCAGACATTTTTCCACTTGGTTAAAATTCTATGGTCTTGTCATTACATATTATAATTAACTAAAAATACATTCTTAGACTAAGGCATGTTTTCTAATGTTAACTCACAATAGACAATTGTTGTGAAACTTGTTGTAGCTGGCTAAAGTAATGAGGCCACCCCAGCAAGGTGAGAGAGAGAAAAATATTTGAACAGCTGCATCTTTCCAGACCTGGAACAAGCATGATAAAAAAGTTATTATTTATTTGAATGAATGAAGCCTCTTATAAGAATACAACTTTGTTACTATTTAAAATCCGTTGGGGTGATAAAAAACTTTTATTTTTTATATTAAAATATTTCGATTGATTTTATTTTAAGTTAATTTAGATATTTATATTTAGTGTTGAACAGACCAGACATATTACTTTTAAAAAAAAAATCTTTAAGATCATCCTGTATGAAAAATAAATTGTTCAGGATGTGGGACATTTTAAATCTTTTTCCTTATACATTTGACTTCAACAACAAATCTAAATAGCATGCAGTTAGCAGTGTGATTAATTTGTTGAACATCTCACTTTTTAAAAAAATTATCAAGAGCATATAATTTGTCTATCCATTTGAATAAATATAAACATTAAGAAAACGATCCTTTTAACATTTAAGTTCAAGGTTTACAGAAACAATCAGTTTTACTTACTCTAGCATTGAGCAGCTGATCCCACTGAGGAGTTAGATAGTAAGCAATGCCCTGTCCAGATCCTTCCAAGGTGACACCTCTGATCAGAAGAATGGTCAGGACAATGTATGGGAAAAATGCAGTGAAATAAACAGCCTGTAACGATATTTAAATTTTTGTTTTACAGCAGTTTAAAATGTTAAGTGTTTAATTTGTAAAATTTCATTACTTAATTTAAATTGAGCCATTAAATGCAAAGTTACCCGCCTTTCCAGATGACTTGATTCCCTTGGCTAGACATACACAGACTAGAAACCATGCCAACAACAGACACAGTGCTAGCTCCCATTTTAGGCTTCCCATAGATTCAATGCCTTCAGTCCGGTTCAAGACTACCTTGCTGGAAATAAAAAAAATTAAACTAATGGTAACTTTCTGGAGTGATTTATTATACAAAGATTTTTTTTTTTAAGTTTAAAATAATTCATCATTTAAAAGTTTCATTAATTATATGAATGAAAATTAATATTAAATCAACAGTTTAAATGCAGTTTAATTTTTTATCCAACTTACTACTTACTTAAAATATTCGTCACTGGATGAGGTGTACTTGATGTCCGATGAGTTGGCCAGATCTTTGATGTAGTTGATATAGGTTTCACTGACTTGACCAACGTGATGGCACGTGTCATTGTACCAGACACCATTGTGATGAGTACAGTTGTACATGACAGCTGGGTCAGCCAGACAGTCTGGACATGAGAAGAAGAGAACATCAACTAGAGGCAATCACTCCATTCAAGGGATGATGCTGATTTAACCCAATAAGTGTTTATAAATAGTTCATGTTTTAAGTTGTGTTGAAATAATAAGAATTTTTTTTTAAAATGCCCTTCCTTTTATATTTACTTTACAAATTTATTTCTCCTTTCCTTTCCCCACAAAACCTTGATGATTAAAAATACAAATGAACATTCAACATATAGCCATCATCAAATTCAAGGTAAAGGGAAAGAGGTCATATAATTTTCTCCCCTTTTTTTGAGACCGCTAAAACTGTCACACATTCATTTACTGAAACTGCTGCAACTGTCACAAACTAAATCTGCCACACACTACAATTGTCACTCACTAAAACTGCCACACACTACAATTGCCACAAAGTAATCACTTCCACACTCTATTGTGTACTGAAAGTGTCACCAACTTTTCGAGCTCCAGTCTCCACAGTATCCCCAAGGAAGCTCTTCAGCAAAGGAAGCAAAGAAATAGTAGATCGTCCAGGCAATGATCATGTTGTAGTAGATGGATATGAGGCAGGACACAATGAACATGGCCCACCCAACACCTGGAAAATAGGACGTCACGTCTAATATTCTTTGTCACACTTTACAGTAGCTTGGATTTTTGAAAAACATTTTTGAAGCCAAAATGACAAAGTCCTTTAACTGATGTTCTCTTTAAAGTAGAGGAATAAATGTTGACACATCCATAAATGGTGACACATCCATAAATGGTGACATATCCATAAATGACGTCACACTATTTCAAATATTTTTACCCTCTCCTTCCCACCATCGCAAAAAATAGACACACCCATAAAGCATCATCACAAATTGTTATCCCTCCCCCTGAATTTGCAGATTTTATTTTAATTGTTATGTACTGTGGCGCCTCCAGTAATAAACAACTTAACAAGCTGACCAAGTTTTGGTTCGCCCCCCCCCCCCGAAAACCCCCTGAAATGACGCCCCTGGTAGTCCTTGGCGTTTTAAAAACTAATTGTTTTCCCTCCCCCTGAATTTGCAGATTTTATTTTAATTGTTATGTACTGTGGCGCCTCCAGTAATAAACAACTTAACAAGCTGACCAAGTTTTGGTTCGCCCCCCCCCCCCCGAAAACCCCCTGAAATGACGCCCCTGGTAGTCCTTGGCGTTTTAAAAACTCTAGTTCAATACATCTCCAATGGTACAGTTACCCTTACAATGACAGGAGCAGTCCAATCTTACCTTGGAAGAGAGGTGATGCCTTCCATATAGAAACAACACCCGAACTGGCGTACTGACCAAAGGACAGTTCTAGAAAGACCATCGGGATGCCCGTGATGAACAACATGATGATGAATGGAATGAGGAAGGCGCCTGGAAACACGAAGGGAGATCATTCATTATTCGCGAGAGTAATAGATGCGATGATTTCCCCTTTAGCAATACTTAAAAACTATTTATTTAACAAAGCAGCCCTTTGAATATTCAGGCTCAATAGAAAGTTGGAAGGGGTGGTGATCTGCAGGGGAATTTACGTGAGTCTTAAAAATGTACAGAGATATGCCTACAGAAACAGTGGCGTAGCTAAGGGTTGGGCGCCCCCTTGTACGAAAAACAACCCCACAACAACCCTGCAGTTGACCGAAAATGCCGCCCCTCTACACGAAGAAAGAAGACTTGTTCGGGTCGTAACACTGAAGTTACACTTTTCAAGCTGCAACCTTACATATAAAACACATTTTGGATGGAAGTTTTCACATTTTCACACCTGTATTATGTGATGTTTTTATATATGACTTTGGTTCTGATCGAAATATTCATGTGTGTAACGACTCCTGTTAGATCGGAAATCGGGGGTTTAAACAAAAAAAAAAGTCATGCAAACATGATCATTTCTGTGGGTTCGTATGATTATAAACTTTATGGAACCACTGGATCAGTGTCAAGCTGTAATTTTCCTAGTTTACTACGACAGCTGTCATAAAAAAACAAGACAAAAACGAACAATAAGAATGTTACGATGACAGAGTAAGAAATGCAGTAAACGCATAAATTGTCCCGCCAGTGCGGTGTTGTTATGTGGAATAATATACAACACATTGTAATTAATCATTGCGTCATTACCATTACACACCCTTTCCTCAACGCGTGCCACCTGAATTGGTGCATTTTTTAATTTATATATTTTTTTGTTTGTTAAGCCATTTATAAAGCTAAACATTTTTGGTGGAAGCAATGAAGTCATTTTAAGGATCATTCGTTTCGTGATTTGTCTAATGAAATTAGTTTTTAATTATTTTTTTTAAAAAAACATTTGTGAAATCTGTAAAAGTTGCTCCCCTTTATAAAAGAAAGTTTTCGTTTAAATTAACGAGATACTCCCCATTTAATTTCCATTTCATTTTTTTTTTTTTTTAAATTGTAATCCATGTCGTGGGCTCTATTTTCGGAAGCTCCTTTTGGTTTCGGGTTCCGTTCTGTGGTTCATGGCTCAACATCTCTTAAATGCAATTTCAAATAAATTCTCTACCATCCTAATGAGCTGAAATTCTGTGAACTGCAAAGACTCTGATGAAAGTTTTAATCTAATGATTCAGTGGTCGGCAAACTCATTAGTCAAAAGAGCCGAAAATCAGGAAGATTTTAAAAAATTTGAGAGCCAAATTTCTTTTCAAGAACCTTACAAGAACCATGTTTTATGGAGTCAACCCCGATTTGTGGCCGACTGGCCGAGCCGCACTCAGGTCTCTAAATTTAAGAACCGCTTGAAACATTATGTTTTCATTTGTTTTTAAATCTTTAAAAAAATTTTTTTTTTTTACTTTTGGGTTTTGTTAAACAAAAATCTCGTACCCTGGGGTGGGGGGGAGGGGGGGGGTTGGACAAAGTGCACATGGTGCTAAAGTCCAGGTGTTTCTGCTTGAATGGGCTTACATTTCGACGTTTATAAGAATCAGCACGTGCATCATTACACGTAATCGCCACTGGTCAGTGTCTTAAGTTAATAATGAAAACGGTTAATGTTATATGGGAATAATGAAAGTAGAGACCCACTGTTGCCATTAGAATGTTGTAGAGACATCAAGGAATTCAGAACCGTTAATGGCAATGGAAAAGTCCCAAAACTTCTAACAGGTGTTCATGGGAGGGCATCGGTTCAGAGGCGTATCTAGGGCGAACCGCGTCTATAGCAAGTTCTGGAACACCACTACTGTGTGTGCATATATTTTCGGGGGCAGGTTTGGGGGGAAGGGGGCGTAAAATTGTTACGTCCATAGCCTCCTTGTCCGATTAGGAGCCCATTTGATGGCATGCACCGCACGCGCCCCTCTTGAACCACCATTAATACGCCTCTGAATGAACCCCAGGACAGTTCCCCATGAGTGTCTGTTAATGACCCTGAGAGAATTCGTATACGGCGAGATATGTTTGGCTACACGTGAAAACATTTCAGCCAATCGTCGCGTGCCTACACCGGTAATGATCTTAATGCCAAATAAGTAGTCTAGGACCAAATTAGGAAGAAAAGCGATTTGTCTCCTGGCTCAGTCTGTCGACGCGATCATTAGAAGGAATGCCAGGCCACGCTTGACCTTTGACCTTTAAAAAAAAATAATAATGAAGTCTCTCTCCTCCAAACTATTGTGTGTTATAGTGTATAAACGTAACATCTGGTAATAGTTCTCAACGTGTGCAGTCTAACTTGTTTCGGTCACTTATGAAAAGTAACTTTTTAAAAAACCCTTACTTGGTATCTTGATGAGGGTAACTATGTTTGCTGTTATTGTTTAAATGTATAAACCATACACAGGTCAATCTAAATGACGTAAAGCAGACAGTGGCTTAATCTGTAACATCGCGTAAAGCAGACAATGGCTTTAGCTATAACATCATGTAAAGCAGACAATGGCTCTAGCTATAAAATCGTGTAAAGAAGACAGTGGCTTTAGTTATAACATCGTGTAAAGCAGACTATGGCTTGAGTTATAACATCGCGTAAAGCAGACTATGGCTTGAGTTATAACATTGTGTAAAGCAGACAATGGCTTTAGTTATAACATCGTGTAAAGCAGACTATGGCTTTAGTTATAACATCGTGTAAAGCAGAAATGGCTTGAGTTATAACATCGTGTAAAGCAGACAATGGCTTTAGCTATAGCATCATGTAAAGCAGACTACCGCTTGAGTTATAAATTATGTCTGCTAGTGCTACTCACATTCAAGATAAATAAATAACAAACTAAGATAAATAAAGTAATGATGAAAAGTACGATAATATTAGACATGATAAGATTATATATGAAAATATTGTATATGATAAGATTAGATATGAAATATTGCATATGATAAGATTAGATACAATAAGATAAGATTAGATATGATAATATTAGATATGATAAGACATTAAGTTAATGTTCCCTTTTTTTGTCCAAAGAAATAAAAATGTATTTTGGTTCCGTTGTACAATTCTTATTTTAGTGTATTCAATAACAGACAATACTGGGTTCATATCTAAATGTGTATTGGTAAACAGTGACAAGATCCGGTCTCAGTTTGGATTCCATACAGTTGCGTCATCCACTTTCTGCAAGTCACAATTTTCCAAGAATTTCATTGGAAATTTCCGATCCTGCCCCCATTCACCCCACCCCACCACTAGACTTGTGCTATGAAGTCTGAGCATAATTAAATTTAGTGACTCCAATGAACTCACGTGTTTCTTGATGTATAAAGTTTGTTTGTTTGTTTTTTTTCAAACTATAAATACAAACTTTACTTCGCTTGTTGATTATACTAATACAACATGTTAGCGTTGGAATTCATTTATTGAGACACTGCTCTCGGGGAACGTATGACTAACAAATGACTAAAGTATGACTAACGTATGGCTATCATATGACTAGCATATGACTAACATATGACTAATTGACTAACATATGACTAATATACGACTAACGAATGACTAAAGTATGACTAACATATGAATAACGTATGACTAAAGTTTGACTAGCATATGACTAACGCATGGCTTAAGTATGACTAACATATGACTAACGCATGGCTTAAGTATGACTAACATATGACTAACGTACGCCTAAAGTATGACTAAAGTATGAGTAACATATGACTAACGTATGACTAACGTACGCCTAAAGTATGACTAAAGTATGAGTAACATATGAATAACGTATGACTAAAGTTTGACTAGCATATGACTAACGCATGGCTTAAGTATGACTAACATATGACTAACGCATGGCTTAAGTATGACTAACATATGACTAACGTACGCCTAAAGTATGACTAAAGTATGAGTAACATATGACTAACGTATGACTAACGTACGCCTAAAGTATGACTAAAGTATGAGTAACATATGAATAACGTATGACTAAAGTTTGACTAGCATATGACTAACGCATGGCTTAAGTATGACTAACATATGACTAACGCATGGCTTAAGTATGACTAACATATGACTAACGTACGCCTAAAGTATGACTAAAGTATGAGTAACATATGACTAACGTATGACTAACGTACGCCTAAAGTATGACTAAAGTATGAGTAACATATGACTAACGTATGACTAACGTACGCCTAAAGTATGACTAAAGTATGAGTAACATATGAATAACGTAGGACTAAAGTATAACTAGCATATGACTAACGCATGGCTTAAGTATGACTTACATTTGAATAACATATGACTAACATATGACTAACATATGACTAACGTACGCCTACAGTATGACTAAAGTATGAGTAACATATGACTAACATATGACTAACATATGACTAACGTACGCCTAAAGTATGACTAAAGTATGAGTAACATATGAATAACATATGACTAATGTACGCATAAAGTATGACTAAATTATGAGTAACATATGAATAACATATGACTAACATACGCCTAAAGTATGACTAAAGTATGAGTAACATATGACTAACATATGACTAACATATGACTAACGTACGCCTAAAGTATGAGTAACATATGACTAACATATGACTAACGTACGCCTAAAGTATGACTAAAGTATGAGTAACATATGACTAACATATGACTAACATATGACTAACCTACGGCTTAAGTATAACTAAAGTATGAGTAACATATGAATAACATATGACTAACGTACGCCTAAAGTATGACTAAAGTATGAGTAACATATGACTAACATATGACTAACATATGACTAACGTACGCCTAAAGTATGACTAAAGTATGAGTAACATATGACTAACATATGACTAACATATGACTAACGTACGCCTAAAGTATGACTAAAGTATGACTAACATATGAATAACGTATGACTAAAGTTTGACTAGCATATGACTAACGCATGGCTTAAGTATGACTAACATATGACTAACGCATGGCTTAAGTATGACTAACATATGACTAACGTACGCCTAAAGTATGACTAAAGTATGAGTAACATATGACTAACGTATGACTAACGTACGCCTAAAGTATGACTAAAGTATGAGTAACATATGACTAACGTAGGACTAAAGTATGACTTAAGTATGACCAACATAAGACTGACGTGTGTATAAGTCGTGCACTCAGGAAACGAAATGTTCCAAGTTTGTTCTTATCAGTAGAAGGTCGAAATTGCTTAGTTTCAAGAATGGGGAAACGGAATAAGAGTGGTAATCATACGATTTCACATATATCCGGCTTATTTATGAGTTATGGCAAACAAAGGGCTACCATGAATGCAAAATGAGGTTGGGTGTATATCTCTTACATATATTTTGCTTGTGGTGCGGCTGCTTCCATTTCCGGAAAGCGCGCAAAATAAAATGATTTTTTTTTTTCAATAACGCAACTGCTTTTGGTGCTTAATCTTTTCAGCTCTTTTCGGAACATGAGGTCGTCTCAATTTAAATGTGGTCTAGTAAATATTCGGTTTAAAAATGGTTGGGACATCAGAATATTAATATAGTGCTTGGGCATGAAATAAAAAGTGTGTAGTGACGTATCACGGGGGGAAGGGGTGAAGGAAAAAATTGGGATTCTTAAATGTGCGTTACTCGAGGTCATGTTTTGTCAAGTGGGTTTACTAGATGGGAAGTTGACGCACTGCTGTTACCCAATGTTGGGCGGGCTATAAATAGTTCTCATTATTAAGCCACCATCTTATCATTTAACAATTTTTGGGGACATTAACGTCTGGAACCAACGGTGAAAAGCTGGTATTGGCCACTGGAACAAGTTCATTTCTGCTGTGGTGGGTTCGACAAAGTTCGACTTAGTGTGCAATTGAATGACAAAGTATTTCAAACAGTTTGACTTAGTGTGCCATTGTATGATCCAAGATTTATATCTAATATAATTTCTTAAGAAAAATAGCAAACCCTCGAGCTGAAGCTCATTAGGCCCTTCTTCCCCCCACCACCCCCCCCCCCCCCCCCCCCGTCACAACCCCCCCCCCCCCCCCCCCCCCCAACCACAACACCCCGAAAAGCGTACTCCACAGCCGAGACTGCCCTACCCGCTGTCCACTCGAATCCCAAGCAAGTGAGGCAATATCAGCCAAGGAGCGTCTGGTCGGATGGTAGAGCTGCTCTCGCAACGCCAGCAACCGAACTTTCTAATACCCGGACGGTTATATAACGTCCCAAAAAAACACCATTTCCCATCCCGGAGTGGCGTCAGACGTCCTCTAATTGGGTTTCTACAAGTGGTCTTACTACCTCGTGAATACTTCAATAAGTAGCTGGGACGAAACGGTTAGCTAGGAGCAGTCGCCTCAAAAGGCTGTATGATCGAATCCTCGGCACGGGCTGCCACAAACCGACCCAAGCCTCATATCCATCAGCGGCAACTAGCTCTATATCTGTACGTACAACTCACCTCCTCCATTTTTGTAACAGACGTACGGAAATCTCCAAACGTTTCCCAGACCCACGGCGTAGCTGAGGCAGGATAGGACAAAGTCCATCTTTCTGGACCAGTTGCCCCTGGTCGCGTCGTCCTCGTCTACGCCATAGCTCATCTCTACGTCAGCCGTCTGCTTCATCATTTTCTCTTTGTTGGCGTGCCCCATGGTAACGTCGCTCTTTGCTTCTTGGTTCTTAAAATCGCAGGCCTGAAATTAGATTAAAGAATCGAAAAGTTAATTGCATTGGGGGCTGAGAGTAAGGTAACAATATATTTAAGACGTATGACGTCATTCATAGGTTGTTCTTTATAGATGCCATCGATGCCAATGTTCCCCACACACTCGCAAGGATCAGAAATTGGAAATGTTGCTTTAGTCTTTCTCACTATAATACACAGTAAAACAAAATAATGAGTTCAAAAAGAAATTTGACGCAACATTTTAACGTGTGAACTGAAATAAATTTCCGTTCGATCAAATTTCCGTCGTTTAATTTTCCGTCGAAGAAATTTCCTTCAAACAAATTTCCGGATACGAAAAAAAAAGAGATTTCTTGAATTATTTGCAAATATATTAAATTTCACCGTCGGTTTGTCAAATACTATGAGAAGCCTGCAAGTCAATGCCCTTCATGACCTGATGTAAGATTCCAATGTCAAGACAGTGACTCTAGATCTACCACTCTAAATCTTACTCCAACAGTTTTAGAATTTCCACTGTGGAAATAGAACTTTTAAAAAAAAAAGTGTCACATTTAATTGTATTGCTCCATTAAATAATGTCACTTCCTTTTTCTTTTCTACGTAACATCCCTGAGCGGCAATTTCTTTCGGTCAGCTGCCGTGGAGGACGACAAATGTCCTCTACTCACCTTATAGTTTGTCTGGAGGTTATTAGCACGAGCCGTTATGCCACATTCAGACCTCGTGATGACCACTCATCACAGGACCGTCACGGATCTGCGCACACCATTTACCAACAAGGAAGCCTTGTGAACACTGTCATCTCCTAGTTAACTATGCGGGACTCCCATACGTTTATGAATGAAATGACTGTGCTGAAAGTATGCACTCTCTCTCTACCTTCATTCGCAATATTCTGGGAAAAGTTATTTTAGGACATGACGCCATGACTTATCCCTTTTTTTTTTTTTTTTTTTGCTTTAAAACGTCTAAAATTAGGTGCCCCCTTCCAGGAAATAAAAAAAAATATTTGTTGGGGAAAAAAATAACGATTTTTGTTGGGCTTCACGTTTCCATGTGTATGTAATTCAAACTTAAAACTTCATGGAGAAATCAATCTGCGGGAATTATGATACATCGACCTGATTCAGATAAGCGATCTTTGAGATACGAATAATAGAGTTTAGCACATGGATTTCTTCAATCGCTGTGCATGAAATTTTTTTAGACATGTTAACTAACATCAAAGAGAACTGAGACTTGTTTAATCGCAATGTTAGTGTTTTTTTTTAAAATAATCATTAAAATGTGCAAATAAAAGAAAAACAATCCATTACCTGGATCAAACTATTGTAAGATAATAGCACACAAAGTTCTTTTTAAATTATGAAATTATTAGATAAGCAGTGCATATAGCATGAGGACCACTGGAAGCATAAAACGAAGAATTTACTACATGTAAATACTGGAAACAGATTTACAGGGAAATATCTTAACATCATTGAATCCGGGTTTGAAATTCCGACTGTTTACAATATGCTCATCGGGTCACAGATTGTAATATTGAGTATAAAGGTAGTCTAGAGCTGGGGTGGCTGACCATGGACTTAAGACAGGGGTGGCTGACCATAGACTAGGACAGGGGTGGTTGACCATGGACTTAAGGTAGGGTTGGTTGACCATGGCCTTAAGACAGGGGTTGTTGACATTGACTTAAGACAGGGTAGTTTGACCATGGACTTATGATAGGGGTGGTTGACCATGGAATAGGACATCGGTGGCTGACCAGGTACTATAGGACATCGGTGGCTGACCAGGTACTAGGACAGTTGTGGCTGACCATGGACTTAAGGCAGGGGTGGCTGACCATGGACTTAAGACAGGGGTGGCTGACCATGGACTAGGACAGTGGTGGCTGACCATGGACTTAAGGCAAGGGTGGCTGACCATGGACTACGACAGGGGTGGCTGACCATGGACTTAAGGCAAGGGTGGCTGACCATGGACTACGATTAGGACAGGGGTGGCTGACCATGGACTTAGGGCAGGGGTGGTGGACCAGGGACTAGGACAGGGGTGGCTGACCATGGACTTAAGGCAAGGGTGGCTGACCATGGACTACGACAGGGGTGGCTGACCATGGACTTAAGGCAAGGGCGGCTGACCATGGACGTAAGGCAGGGGTGGCTGACCATGGACTAGGACAGGGGTGGCTGACCATGGACTTAAGGCAGGGGTGGATGACCATGGACTTAACAGTGGTGGCTGACTATGGCCTTGTGGTGGCCTAATATAGACTAGAGCTGGGATGGCTGACCACTAGGACAGGGGTGTCTGACTATGATCTATGACTTTGGTGTTTTCGATATGAAAATAAATGCTACTAAAAATTTAAGAAAAAGCAAATAATAAACAAGTCATCGCCATTTTATTTTCATGTGCATAATTATGAACGAGCCCCCCAAACATATTTTATGAGTATCAAACTCTACGCGGTGCACTGTGTACATTGGCTGAAGTAATAAAAATGAAATGCATTATAATTTATTTATTTTTTAAATTTTAAAGCTCTAAGACCTTAAAACATAACTTTACAGTAGTTACCCAAGTGCCAGTACTAAACTATAATTCTGAACTATTGTAAGATAATAGCACACAAATTACAGTAGTTACCCAAGTGCCAGTACTAAACTATTATTCTGAACTATTGTAAGATAATAGCACACAAATTACAGTAGTTACCCAAGTGCCAGTACTAAACTATAAGACTGAACCATTGTACGATAATAGCACACAAATTACAGTAGTTACCCAAGTGCCAGTACTAAACTATTTGTCTGAACCATTGTACGATAATAGCACACAAATTACAGTAGTTACCCAAGTGCCAGTACTAAACTATTTGTCTGAACCATTGTACGATAATAGCACACAAATTACAGTAGTTACCCAAGTGCCAGTACTAAACTATAAGGCTGTAACATTGTTAGGTAACGGGGCGGTTTGGCAAAAACAAAATCTTTGAAAACTAGAAATTATTTTTTTAAGGTTTTATTTCTTTCGTTAAAGTATGCCATGACTTCAAATATATGCATTTGTCCTTAACTTAAGCACAAATATATAACTATTATAACATCATTTTTTTTTTAAATTTCAGAGCACAGAATGTTACTTGAATTTAAAAAACTTATAACCTGGGCAATAATGAGTACATATAGATAAGATAAACCGAATTGGACGTATTTACAGAAGGTAAGTCACATTTTTACATGTATATACTAATATTCTTGAAATATGACATTTTCGATACATTTTTACACGCCTACTATTGAGGTATGTCTTCTTTCATGTATTTTAAAATCCAACCAATGAAGTAATTATAGACATTTTTGATGATGTAAGGAGCTGTATTAGAATCCATTGAGCTTTCGCCATCCAACAATGGGATAGATTTTACTGGAAAGCAGTGGCGTTGCGAAAGAAACTTAATATGCGATGAAAGAATCCTGTGTGATTGTAACTTGATATCAAGCTATGTTGGTGATCCCTCGATATAGAAGTAAACACTATTATATTTTTGACTTATTTTTGTATGGCAGTACCACTTATATCTAGTGGCGTGGGGGTAAGTGCCACCTGGGGCGAGCCAAGTTTTTTGCCACCCCATCCACGAAATAAACTCTGCTTTTTCCGAAAATTCCGCCCCTCAATGATGTGAAGAAAAAACGTGCCGCCCGAATCCACTTCCTAAGCCACTGATTATGTTGTGGCTTATATTTGATTAATACAACCAACGATATTTTATGGACTATTTTAAGCCTGGATGTACGCAGTAGGTAAGCTTCACAAACTAGTATACGTCACCACACTGCATCTGCTTTACAACGGCTCCTTCGTTTTGAGTACAAGATTCAGCCATTTCAAAGATGGAATCTATCCGACATAGTCTATGTGTTTACTTATTTGCTTTCACTTACCAACCCTTGCATTAGACGTAGTAACAAGCCTGAGGTTTTAAACAAGCCCAGATCTAAATTTAACAAAATATACACTGTTAGATTTTGTTTCCCGAGGAACGCTTTAGACAATTTAAATTTTCCCAAGCGCCCAGAGCTAAACACCGGGAAAACCCAAACTTGCCTCGGCACGTGCATATGTGTATCCGTTTAAATGCCAAATTGCGATTGTGCAGATATCACTTTCATGTCGACAGACAGTCATATTAACTTTGATATTAATATGTAATTTTGAGAAACATCAAAGTCGGAGACAGAAACTGGTGCATTAATAAGTTAAGGCAAGTACGTTTATAAAATCGACTCTCTATCCTTTTTTTTTTAAATTCTTTATATTAACTTTCGCTTTTGCTCGTGGCTGGCTGGGCAGTGAACTGGCTAAATTTTCGTTCGGACGGCTAATTGACCCACTTCCCATCATCATATCGAGCTGAAACTTGGCACATAGACTCGTTGCCGATGACAACACATTCATTCGAATTTTCAGCCCCAAACCCTCAAAATCAGTTTTTCCTGTTTTTCAAGAAGAAGATAAAATAAAATACCCGATATAGCTGAATGAGATTTTTTTTTTTTAATATTGCAAGTGCGTTTGGTGCGTAATATTTTCTTTTTTTTTTTTCTAAAATTGTTGGTGAATTAAATCTGCGGTGTAAATGCGGGTGGGTCATTAGAATAATATTAATATAGTTTGGGGGCGTGAAAAATGTGCGGTTGTGGGCCTTGGGGGACGGGGGACTAATTAATTACTTACTTATGCCTTTCTACCCCGTCTGGGGCATAGGCCGTCTACAATAATTTTCCACTCATCACGGTCCTGTGCTTTCCTTTCCAATTGCTTCCAGGTGTATCACACATTTTGAGTGTCTGTCTCTAGCCCACGTCTCCATGTATTCTTGGGCATTCCTCTCTTTCTTTTTCCCCGTGGGTTCCATGTTAGGCATTGTCTGGTGATGCTGTCTGGGAGTTTTCGAGCGTATGCCCTATCCACCTCCATCTTTTCTTTATGATATATTCATCAATGGGCACAACCTGGTACGTCCTTTCTGGTAGCTCTTTGTTGGTGATGGTATTTGGCCATTTGATGTTCAGGATTTTTCTAAGGCAGGGGACTAATTGGGATTCTTATAAAGTTCGATAGTTGTATGCATGAGTTATCAAATGTTCAGCCCAATCCCCTTTGCTCAATATTTAATTTTATAAAGCATTTATATAAAAACTAGGTTTTTAGAGGTTTTTATTCCCCCGTTATAAGGTAGTGTTAGATGGTAGTGTCCGTTTGAAGTGTTAGATCGAAATGTTAGATGGAGGTGTTTAAATGGCTGTGTTCGATTGCTATGTTAGACGGTAGTATTTAGATGGTAATGTTAGATGGTAATGTTAGATGGTAATGTTAGATGGTAATGTTAGATGGTATCAAATAAAAACCAATTAACATTATGGCATATGTCTTTGATGATATATACAGGCGTCGATACAGAGGATCAGCTACACTTTGCGACGCCTTTGCCATCCTTAATTAACAACAACAAAAAAATGGATACAAAATAATCATAAATATAAGCTAAATAAACTATATAAAGGGAGTTGAAAATTCCCCCCCCCCCCACACACACACAAAAGTGACATCCGGAACGAAATCGCCTCACAGCTCCCCCTCCTCTTCCTACTCCCGGTCGTGGAGATTGCTATGAGGCTGAAAATTAAGAGAGAAAAAATACGAAACAAAGCATGTGACCATATCTGCTATGACTTACTGCCTGTCAGTGGCGTAATATGGCTAAGTGTCGCCCAGGGTTTTGCTGCCCCCCTTCCACGAAAATAAATCTACAGTTGTCCGAACATGCAGCCCTCCATTTAAAGAAAACAAAAGTGCCCCCCCCCCCCCCCCCGGAGAGGACCGCCCCTTCCGCAATCCCTTCATATCCTAACTTGGTTTTAAAACTGGATATTCCAGTTGATGAACAAAATGTCCAACGCACCGTATCCAGAAATTTGATCGAAAGAAATTTTGTCGGCGGAGAATTGATCGACGGAAATTTGATCGAACGGAAATTTGGTCGAATTTTTTTTTTCAGTTCACACGTTAAAATTTTGCGTCAAATTTATTTTTGAACGCATTATTTTGATTTACTATATAGTATAGTCGGTTCAAAAAGAAATTTTACGTAAATTTTAATGTGTGAACTGAAAAAAGATTCGCCCAAATATCCGTTCGATCAAATTTCTATCGATCAATTTTTCCGTCGACGAAATTTTTTTCGATAAAATTTCCGGTAACCCCAACGCACATTGGACTTCTCATCTACAAAACCTATTTGTGGCAACTCTTAATGCGGATAAAAATGAGTTTATGCATTGGATTATCGGGCTCATAAATTTGTTTTAATTTAATCTAATATACATTCCTATACAGTATACGCAGTATAAGTTTCTATAAGGAAAACTGAGTAAACTGCTGATAAGCAGGCACGGTTCAATTTTATCTGGACCACATGAAAAGGATGTGCATGCAAATTTTGACCCTGGCGCAGCCATAGTGAATAATCCAGAGAAACAGGAAAGAAGATAGGACATCCTCATTTCACAAATGTAACACAATACCGGTACGGGACTACATAACGTGTCAATGAAGTATTGGTTCTTGGAGATGCAATGTCTCTCTCATTCAACAGTATAAGCGCTTGTGTCGGTAATGTATGTTCATCTGAATACAACGCGTGTGCCAAGTGGATTGGATTGTGGAAAGAAAAAAAAATGAGTGGATATTAGATATCAGCTTTGGGATAGATGCAAGAAATATGGAAAACGATGCAGTTATAAGAATTAAGAATAGAACTGTGGCATTGAGCCTTTAAAAAAAAAATTTAATGAATTATATAGTGTTGGGTTAAATGTCATTTTTCTTTTTAATTTGAAGAAAACAAAAGACATGTCTTTAATAATTAAAAGGCGCCTGCCTAATCAGAGGTAAAAAAAAAATGTCAGAAACCCTAGTTTGTTTGTTTGTTTGTTTGTTTGTTTATTTGAGAATTTTTGCAATGAACAGAAACGTCTTTCTTTTTTAGTCTTTTATTTTCTTTTTTATACAAATAATAATAATAATAATTTATGCATTATTCTTGATCAATGGGAATGTTAAGAGTACAGTATGTTAGAAACTTTAAAAAAAATAATATCATGTATGTCAGAAACGATTGCCTCGACAATAAATTGATTAATATTGTTTAAAGATGAATCCAGGTCACGAAGATTGGTTAGCTTTGGGAAGCGGATTAGGAAGGGGGGGGGGGGGGGGGGGGGGGGGGGGGGGGGTCCATCCTCTTAGATTTTGAAAATATTTTCGAGGCCTCTGATACAGAAACTCCCCACCCCCCCCCCCCCAAATCTTTTTCTTTTTTTAAGTTCTCTTGTTAATCAGACGCGTGGTCTCCAGTTCTACAAAAAACTCTGACTTACATCATAACAGAATTGTTTCATTTCTTGACAAAACTTTGGCGACATACACTTGGTGAATATTCAAATTAATCCAAGTAACAGATAGTGTTCAGCTGAAATTAAAGGGATTTTTAAAAAATATTAATTATGATTTCCCATTAAAGTAATTCGCCTCCACATTTTAAGACCACATTTGATGAAAAGCTGCTGCAGCCGGCATAGTGGTAGATCTAAATACTTCATTTTAAAGCTAAGAGACTATTGTTATAAAAGTGTACACAGTAACAGATCGTGTCCCAGCTAAAAGTAAAGAAATGTTATTAACAACTCCACTCGCTAGATCTCAAATGCTTGTTAAGCTGTGTGTTCTCCAATGTTCGAAGCCAACTTTGTAATGCTATGTACTCCCTGTAAAGAGCGATAACTCTGCGTGACAAGGGAAGTAATAACCCCCCCAGTTGCAGTGCCCTATAGACTTGATGAAACATAGGTACTGGCGGGTATTTGAAGAAGGGATGGAAGAGGCGTTACGCCCCGGGCGTAATTTTTTTTTTTTTTAATAGGTGGCTGGGACTTTATCGGTCCACTGCAAATACTTTATGAATCTCAAGTTTTATATGTATGCTCTATGTTCGGTGATTGTGTGAGTCAGTGGTGTTTAAGTAGGGATGTTTAAGTAGGGGCATCCCCCCCCCCCCCCATTTTACTCCATAACCGTTTGTCACATACTCCAGATATGACACAGGGTTCGATAAAAAAAATTGATCAGGCGTATGATTTTTGTTGCCAAACATCAAAACTGGGTCAATATTTTGACAACGTGGCGGCAATGTAAAGTGTCAACAATAATACTCGACTTTTAAACTGTTTAGTCATTCAAAAAGATGAGATTTCAAAATTTAATTAAAACAACAACAACAACAAAAACAATCCCAGCTTACCTCTTACACTGCGAAAGATGAAGTCTCCCTCCAAAAAACCCAAAAAACTATGATATCCTAACACCTTGGAGGCAATATTTCTCAAGCGGATCCTGTGTTGAAGTCTGGCCATCGGAGCGTTATCCCATGGTTCTTCACGTTACGACCTAACCCCCTGACTGCGACCTCGTGTCTCGGTCGTGTCCACAATCACACACAAATTTCTCACGTGCTTTAACTAGGAAAGAAAAAAATTTGAAGAAAAAAAAAAAAGAAAAAAAAATGTCTGGGAACCTATTTTTGGTGAATGTCTGCCACCGCCCACAACCTCACCCCGCAGAAAATAGCGGCCCTGGAAGCGGTTAAGTAGGTTAAAGGTGGTAGGGATAGGGGTTGGGGTGGGCTAGTTTCCTCTTGCGTAATCCAGGAAAAGGAAAAAAAAAAAATGTTTATACGGCTAATGAGTTAAAAAAAAATAATAAGTTGGAAATTCGGGTCATTTCCGGTGGTTTTACGAACTACAAATTTCCCTTTTTTTACAAAAAAATTAATTGTGATAAAGTTACAAACAACTTTAATGAGAATATTGGATGCTGTTATTGTATTATTGTTAGGAAGAAAGGAAAAAAAAGGAGGGGGGTGTCTGGTGGAGCAGGGGGGGGGACAATTGGGTCAACGGGCTGAATGAGGTTTGGAACCACTGTTCTAGGTTATCAAGACACATTCCAATGCTCCGTGGACATTAATGTGTCTACGTCGCCATAAAGGAGAGTGAGTGGATCATCTAAATAAAAAAAAAATTAATAAATTACCGGGACTATAATAAAAACGGGTTTTTTTTACATTCTTTACCACTGTCATACAACATCGGCTTAATAACAACATCGGCTTAATAACAACATCGGCTTAATAACAACATCGGCTTAATAACAACACCGGCTTAATAACAACATGACTTAATAACAACATCGATTTAATAACAACATCGGCTTAATAACAACATGGGCTTAATAACAACATCGGCTTAATAACAACATTGGCTTAATAACAACATTGGCTTAATAACAACATCGGCTTAATAACAACATGACTTAATAACAACATCGGCTTAATAACAACATGACTTAATAACAACATCGGCTTAATAACAACATGACTTAATAACAACATCGGCTTAATAACAACACCGGCTTAATAACAACATCGGCTTAATAACAACATCGGCTTAATAACAACATTGGCTTAATAACAACATCGGCTTAATAACAACATCGGCTTAATAACAACACCGGCTTAATAACAACACCGGCTTAACAACAACATCGGCTTAATAACAACATGACTTAATAACAACATCGGCTTAATAACAACATGGGCTTAATAACAACATGGGCTTAATAACAACATCGGCTTAATAACAACATTGGCTTAATAACAACATCGGCTTAATAACAACGCTTAATAACAACACCGGCTTAATAACAACATCGGCTTAATAACAATACCGGCTTAACAACAACATCGGCTTAATAACAACATGACTTAATAACAACATCGGCTTAATAACAACATGACTTAATAACAACATCGGCTTAATAACAACATCGGCTTAATAACAACATGGGCTTAATAACAACATCGGCTTAATAACAACATCGGCTTAATAACAACATTGGCTTAATAACAACATTGGCTTAATAACAACATCGGCTTAATAACAACATTGGCTTACTAACAACATTGGCTTAATAACAACATTGGTTTAATAACAACATTGGCTTAATAACAATATCGACTTAATAACAACATCGGCTTAATAACAACATTGGCTTAATAACAACATTGACTTATTAACAACATTGGCTTAATAACAACATTGGCTTATTAACAACATTGGCTTAATAACAACATTGACTTGATAACAACATCGGCTTAATAACAACAGCAACTCGGAGTTTTTCGACACCAAGGAAAACCCTTTCTCCCACCCCCTCATCCCCCCCCCCCCAAAGTCACTCACCAACGCAGTTTGGGTTCCAAGGGCAAGGTCGTAATAATTGAATCTTTACATCTTAAATCCTGGCTGAGTGCAAGTAAGGTAAGTTTTTTCTTCTCCTGCTCCATACTGCAGTGCATTAACGGTGCGGTGTTTTTCCAGTGCACCACCACAGTGCACTCACGACAAAGGCTCTCTCCATACGGCAGAAAGCTGTAGCGCTTTGTTTACGGGCAATGCTCGTCATTAAATGAACATGTCATCACACTTCAAACATGTCGGAAACGGATACATTGAAATGTTAAGTAACTTGAAGACGTTAATTTTTTATTTTAATTCTTAAACACAATTTGCATTTTACTTCTCTCTCCCCCCTCTCTCTCTCCCCCCTCCCCCCCCCCCATTTCCCTCGTATGATATTTGGGCTCGTATAAATGTTAAGTAACTTGAAGACGTTAATTTTTTATTTTAATTCTTAAACACAATTTGCATGTTACTTCTCTCTCCCCCCTCTCTCTCTCCCCCCTCCCCCCCCCCCATTTCCCTCGTATGATATTTGGGCTCGTATAGAATCACTAAAAGGTTACATTTATATGAACATTGGTTTACTTCTCGCCCTCTGACCGCTTGACCTGGAGGAGGGTCGAACTGAGGTTAGTTACCAACCCCTCGGTAGAACTTCCGGCCACCAAGTACATATGCACCATTTGGGTGGGGGGGGGGGGGGGGGTGAACTGCCATCCAACCAAGTTTCAGTGCTCAGGTGCTTATTACTTTTGAGTACCGTTATTGTTGGGTTCGAAAACAAAAAATACAACAACCAGCTTACAAGAGTGACACAACTCAGTTATGTATTTATTTTATTTTAAGAGAGATGGGGAGGGGGGGAGAGAAGAGAGAAAGGGAGAGAGATGGGGGAGAGACAGACAGAGAGAAAGGGAGAGAGATGGGGGAGAGACAGACAGAGAGAAAGGGAGAGAGATGGGGGAGAGACAGACAGAGAGAAAGGGAGAGAGATGGGGGAGAGACAGAGAGAGAGAAAGGGAGAGAGA